TGAATTGATCGCTCCAGGCTCTTTCAAGTGGAATTTAATAATTGTACACATATTTGTAATTTTTTTGGCAAGTAAAAAATAATGTCCCGCTGAGTTTCTTACGCCGGTTCTTCTCAGGTCAGTGGCTTTCCTTCCGGTGGTAGAGTTTTTTGACTATCAATAAGTAAGTGAATGCTTCTATATTGAATAAAGACATTTGACTTTGTCTTTAACACACTTTAACGTCCCCGCCCGCCAACACTGCCAAACCAAAATAAACGTTCACAGTCCAAACCCGCGTCCAGGGGTGTTTCTCACACTGGAAAAGGAATAACGAACACTTAGTGCTTTTCCACGAAACGTCTCTGTAAAAACTTGTAAAACTTTCTTAACATACGCTAAGTTATTCATACAGGATGTGAGGTACAGTGGTAAAGAAAAGAAAAGGTACGCTGAGTGAAAGACGCGACTCTTGCCATGAGACAGTTGTTGGTAAGGAAAGACGAACACCGACATTTTTTGTAGAAGGGTTTACAAACAAGCGTGAGTTTTGTCTATTGGTGACTGTCCAATGGTCGTTGACTTATTATGTGCAAAATGTGGCATGCGAGCCAGCGAGACATGATGTTCATGCCTACTAGCGTCGCCGGCCTTTAGGTTAGCTATAACCTCCCTTTATGAAGATCCCAGTGGCATAGTCGCATCGCACCGCGAGTACCGATGGTGGCAACGGTTGGTGATGGCCAAAAATCTTAGAGAACGCCATGAAAAGCATGACTGGCAACCATCAAGGTGATATCAAAGGTATTTGGTACTTTATCACGTTTTTGTAGTGTAATGGTTAACCAGAGGGATAGAACGACATGTTTTAAACACTGAGAGATAATCTCTACTATATAAAACAAGATTTTTTATACTTGTCACTTTCAACATTTTTCAGTAGTATTTCTACGAGGATTTTGGCCTGAATCTTCAGCACGAGACGCCTAGTTAACAGCATAAATTATTTTCTGTCTAACTTATATTTAATTTTTTTTACATTCATAATATTTTCGTATCAAGTAAAGAATAAAAACAATTGCCCGGTCGATCCTTCATAGCTTCTTAGACACGTATTTACTTAAATAAAAGTGGCTCCTACAACAGGATCTCATAATATGGATTAAAAATATCAAGCTATTATATGAAACAGGCATTGTATTGACGTGGGTTTCATCAGAAAGGAATGTCGTTTATAGACTGTTTCTTTTATTTGTAAAACAGTTGTATTTAACGTAGAACGTTCTAGCAAATCTAACCCGTTTCAATAAAAAACGCTTTTATATTTCGAATAGTTGTTTTTTTAACCGACATCAAAAAAGGAGGAGGTTCTCAATTCGACTGTATGTTTTTTTTTTACTTCATAAGAGTTAATTTATAACATTTATTATATATTACACGATATCTAGAGATCGGGTCGATGGAGAAAGCCACTATCTGTAGCTTTCTCTATCTACACGAAAATAATGTTTCATATCTGAAATAGTAAAAAATATAAAAATCAATAAATAAACTGACGGCATCGAAATTTGAACAAAGAATCTCTGATCGCACGTCCAAGCAACGGTCCAACCACTAACGCCCGGTTCCTATATTCAACGAACGACCGTTAGTTAAACAGCTTCGCAACTTTCATAACGACTTGTAGATTAAAAGAACGTTAGTAACTCACTTTTCGTAGGTAATGCAACGGCTCGCAAGGAAAACGCCTCGTTTCGATAGGAATGGAAACCTGGTGTAAACTTCTTTTATCTACAAGTCGTTATGAGAAGCTATGCAACTAACGGTCGTTCGTTGAATATAGGAACTGGCCATAAGCCATAACTGCTTGACTACGCAATACTACTATATCACTGTATGCATTGTGTGAATTAAAAACAAATAAATAAGCCGCTATTTCTGTAATTTAGGCTTATAGTTAAAAGTAGTAATTATACTTTACATAATTTATCTAATTTGACCACACATCTCTTACTGCATATTTTCTGAATTGGTTTAAGTATAAATAAGACTTTTTTCTAAACAAACGATATTTTGAACACTAAAACGTTCATGGTCACATGGAATACTAAATTTAAATATAATCAGGCTCTTTCAAGTGGACTTTAATATGTTGTAACATTTTTCTTTGTCAAACAATAGTAATCAAAACATTGTCTGGCTGAGTTTCTTCCGCCGGTTATTCTCAGGTCAGTGGCTTTTTTCCTTATTAGTATTTCCGTATTTTCTGTAGTAGTATTCTGACAATCAATGATTAAGTGTTATCACATATTAATTTGAACGATGTTGCCATATGTTTATAACTTGTATCTGATATCGACCTCTTAGCTTAGTGGCCAGTGTCTTGTAATCCGGAACGTGTATGGCAAAAAAACACAAACAAAACAGCAAAAAAAAAATTTCAATTTGTCTACATTGTAAGTCCCAACTTAAGTGCAATGACTACAACTAAACATCAAAAGTAAATCTCAGCGATAAAGCTCTTTTCTAATAAATTAAAAAAGAAATCAGAAGTAAATGTAATAATGCTTCACACAAAAGGTGGTCTTCTATTTTTATCCACTCTGCATAGTTACCGATTTCTTATTTGTTTGTTTGGTTGTATATTCTTTATTGTACTAAAAGTTTTTACAAAGGCGAACTTAATGCTAAATAGCATTTTCGTCCAGTTAACCTTTGGTGGTTGAGGGCAAGTTAGGGGCAAGTTAGGGTAGTAACGATAAATGACATTCTTATTTCTTTTAATTAAATGAATAAAATAAAAACGATGATGAAATCAATAAAAATTAAATTGAATTACGATTTAATTCTATTCCAATAAATTAAAAAAGGTACATCCATGCAATTAAAACTAATAGTCGATATTAAAAAAAAAATATTTGATTTTTTACAAATCACGCAAAGATGTTAGTAATATTCATAGTTCATTGAACTCAATATCTCTCGTTACAAGTGGCAAGTTCATCGACAGTGATTTTCGCTAGTTAGAAATATGCATATGAGCATCCATCCGATAACTAAAGCTCTTTTCCAATTAAAAAAAAAACCCTTTACGCCAATGGGATTTGAATCAAAGACCTCCGATTCCTATATTTTACTTAAGCTTAATAATTTCTTGTATTGACGCGATTACACATTACTAAATGAAACTTTTTCCCATGACCATGAACTCCGTAAAGGGTTCGAAACGTCGGGAATTAAAACCAAAAATAAACGCGATAAATACGTGAACATAGTTTCATTTGATTACTTAAACTTGTTAATTTTCATTCTAATATTATAAAGAGGTAGAATTTATTTTCTAATAATACCTACTTGGAGCTTAGATTTTTACACACACTAATAGAGGGCTACATAATCCTTGAAAAACATAGGCTTTAATTATTTACTGTTCAAATATAACCTGATAAAATTAGGCAGTTTCTATCATTTGCATTTGTGTGTGCATATAAAAATGTTATTTAAATGTGTGTAAAATTTTTGAGAAAATCGAAAAAGTTTTTCACCGGAATCGAACCCACGAATTCCGGATTCCCATCCAAACGAAGATTCAGAACCACTAAACTAACATAATTGACCAAACTCTGTGTATTTTACACCTACATTGTTTTATTGGAAATTTTGAGGTATGCCAGGCGCATCTATTGTAATATCTTAAGTCCTGAGATAAGCACTATACAAAAATAAATTTTAAATGTGTGTTGTTTGGGCCCATATAGATAATATAATCCAACTTATAGAAATTGTTTCGACGACGGTTGGACGTGACATTGTGACTTGTGACACAAGGCTATGCGATTCTGTCCCCTTCGGGTTAATGGATATTTAATAACTAAATTTCGTAAGCGAAACGTTTATTTAGACATGGAACAAGTCTCCGAACTCTCACTCAGCACAAGTATGTTCCTTTTTGTGTATAAAGAAACGTGAAATACTCAATATCTCACTATAGATTACGAGAACCTGTTACGGGAATTGTTACATACGAAAATAACACGTGGGGCCCACACTAGTAAGAAATATTTGTTAAAACTCTATTTTGTTAATACCTACGAACATTTCATTTGAATAAAAACATTGATAATAAAATATATAATATAATATTGGTCTACCTTACCATATATATAGTACTTACCATATATATGGAAGAGTGAAGTGAAGACTACTCAGATTTCCCGCCGGTCTCTTTCAATAGCCGGTACCTGACGAGATTTTAAGTCGGTGACTGATAAATTGGCCATCTTTCTACCCGTCTAAAATCATAGGCAGGATGCTTGATTTTTTTTTTATTAAAAAGAAAGTTGCAATTGCAATTGATATGATCAAGCCAAGTGATTAATTTTACCTCAAGTCATTGGCAAAAGTTCACTTAACCAATAATTTTGAAAAATAACTTCTGAGTTCAAACAGGAAAATAATAACACATTGTGAGGATTGCCCTCGATTTCTCTGGGATGCCATCATCAGATCTGGGTTACCTTATCATGGTACCACCCTTGGGTAATCTCCTTTCCAACAAAAAAAGAATCATCAAAATCGGTTCATAAATGACGAAGTTATCCTCGAACACATATAAAAAAATATATATACGGTATCATTGAGAAACCTCCTCCTTTTTTGAAGTCGGTTAACAAAAGGCGTACAATATCCGATCACAACACATTAACAAAAACGATAGGCATGGAATTGTTTTCTCTATAATTTCTAACGTTCACTTATATCGTTGTTCCTAGAGCGACCTTTGTATTATATATAGGCCAACTACCATTATCGCCTCGCAAACAATTATTAAAATTCATAATTCGAATTTACAATGCCGCTGTCCCATTGGCCGACGTAATCCGTTGCATCTATATAAGCGGTAGAGGGGCGCAAACTCCTGCATTTGCCTTCCATTCGACGTGGGAGCAACAAGTCAATAGTATTGTTAGATTAAGTCAAGACTGATAAAGAATTAAGTGTTAATTTCATAGCCCCTCACAATGGGGACGCCTAGTATAAGTATCGGAAGGCTCAGTGCTCTGATCACACTCGCCGTTTTGTGGAAACCAGCGTATTCCGGTAAGATTAAACGTAACTCAATATATTTAACGTAAACATTTTCAGTGGCAGCTCTTCCGAGTCATTATTTTCCACAATTCAACTATTGAAATTGAAATACTCGCAATGAAATTATTGAAACTTTCGAGAGACATTATTAACAAACTAAATAAAACTGCGGAATTCACGTTTAATCAGTATAAATGTTCGTGAAAGATGTATTGAATAAAAAAATGGATTGATTTATCCATTATAACCGTAATAGTAATGATAACTGCGGTAGGGCCACGCAGCAGCCTTCTGTGGCACGAATGGGCAGGTTCGTCCGGTTAGGTACCACGACCTCGCCGAAGACCGGCGTAAGGCACTTTCGGGTTTCGTCAACGATGGTGAAAAACTTTCGAAAAAAGTCAAGAAATTCGATATCTTAAGATATTCCGCCGGTATTCCTCAATAGCAAACAAGTAAAATAAAAAATTTATATGCTTACATAATTATACTCGCACGTGAATAGCATTGGTTTTATTTTATAAAGAAACATCTTTAATTAGTGATATAATATATTGGTTAAACCATTATTCATGTCATCAATAAAGCTTTGATAAAGTGTTGTGAAACGTTTAAAAGTTTTAGATAACTTCACTTTTGAATTCACTTTCTGATACCATTAATATTCTTACTATTATTGGTAGCGAGAAAAAAAAATATGTAAGAAAACAAATCAATACCACCGGTGGATGATGAAAACTAGGCCCATATAATTTCATCAAAGATATTGTTGAATTACAAGTACAGATCTATAAAACTAACAGGCGATTTCACCTGAGATATTTATTAATAAATTTTAAACGAACAACAAATAAATTAAATTAAATTAAAATAAAATAAGCTGTGTTAGGGCCACGCAACAGTCTTCTCTGTTGCACTATGGGCAGGTCCGTCCGGGTAAGTACCACAATCTCGCAGAAGAACGGGGTGACGTTTTTTATGCAAGAAGGTGGGAAACGAGACAACGGTTGACATGACATTCAGTGATAATCTTCACCCGTTGACATTTGCAACACTCGTAGGATATCAGATGCGTTGCCACCTTATAATAAAGTGGGCTTCGGCTACCTCATTCACCAGACTAAACACAAGAGTATTATTAAGCCGGTCTTCTGCGAGGACGTGATACATCCCGAACGAGCCTGCCCATTTGTGCAACAGCTGAAACTGCTTTGTCTACCGCGTATAACGTTGTTAAAAATCATACAAAGCAAAGGTTAACGGAACAATAGATTTTAGCATGTCTTGATTCTCTCAAAGTACGGTTTCGCAATATTTATTGTCTTTTTTCAACTTTATCACCTTAGAATGTATATCATCGTTGTCGCTAACTGAGTGATAATTCCAATTCGCAATAAACCGAGACGGTATACTACGATAACGTCCACTTTGACCCGAGATTGCGTTATCAGCCAACCGTCAGTGACAATGTTCAACGTTCAACGTGTCAATTAACTCGGCAAGGCGAACTTAATAACTAATTTCGATCCAACTTTGTAAGTCCGCTTATTAAAGCCTTGTTTCTGTTCTGTACATAAGGTATTAAGTGCTTGCTATCCATACATAGTCCGTCATGCAACTCCACCGTGGATTGACAGAATCTACATATCTCTTAAATAGAAATGACAAATAATCTGTTAAAGTTGCAATTAACAATTTCATTGGTGCCGTCACCGAGAATTGAACTTAGGCCATTGGCTAACTTCTATTATAATAATCAGTATTGGTTTTTGTGTATAATAGGGATATACAGGGATGTAGGTAAAAGGTATGGCTTAGGTACGTCCTGTTTGGAAATAAAAGTTTCAAACAGAATGTCGTTGATGGTTTTTGGTGGTAAAAAATTCTTACATACGACACTATTTTTGAGTCTTCGTCTTTAGGAAAGTTATGGGCAAAAATGTAAGAGGAGAATTAAATGTGTATCTTGATCGTAGTTGACATATTATTGCTACAGTCAAATCATTCCAGAAGTTTCCAGACAATTTAGAAAAAAGTAAAGTCACACAAGAAATCACATCGATTTGACATTCGCTTTCACTTTCATTAGCAAACAAATTAAATCTTAAATTTGTATGATTACATAATTAAACTCACCAGTGATTAATATTGGTTTTTATTTTATAAACAAACATCTTTAATTAGTTATTTTAGTGTATTGGTCAAACGATGATAACGTCGTCAATGAAGCGTTGGTAAATTGTTGGCAAACGCTTAAGGTCTCAGATAACTTTACGTTAGAATTCACTTTTCGATACCAGTAACATCAGCACTAAAATTCATTCTGGTGCAAGTGATGGTAACTGCACGTATGTTAGAAAACAATTCAATACTACCGGTGGATAGTGAAATTGAATAGAAATGGCTTTTCAAATTTAATTTTATTTGCCAAAAGGATGGTTAACTCTCTGAATTGCCCAGAATGATTTTATTAATGATTCGAATGATCAATTCAAAGAGTTTAACCATCCTTTTGGCAACTCAAATGATATTTGAAAAGCCATCTACGATAACATCTACGATGATCAGTGTTTCAGAAACCGGGTGGTAGTATTCCTCGATGAAAGAAATTTGACAAAATTGGAAAAATAATTTGGTCGCGTCACTGGAAATTGGTTTCTGGGCAAGGAATATTTTACTGTTGTTTTCAACATTTGCATTTCAACAAGGCCTATGATATTAAGTTATCTAGAACACAGGCCTAAGTCTCCGCAAGTCATAGTTATTATAAAAGTAACTGACAGTCACCCGAGGCAAAAAAAAACTATGGTGATGAGTACAGATGCCAAAAATTTCGCAAATCGAATTATTACTTATACTTCTTCGTTTTTAGTTTCATCATTTCTTTTATCAGTGCCATTCTACCTATTATAATAATAAATACGTTTTATTGTTTCTTTATTAATTCAAAGATTATTGTTGGTTGCATGGAACCTTAAATCAAGTAATTAGGCACTAATAGATTCTAAGTTTATGACCAACGATCCTGCTTATAAAATAACTTAAAAGAATATACTTTTATTAAAATGAAACATACTTATTATATCTTTAATAAAAATTTAAGAAACCTACTATACTCGATACCAAATTATCGCTCATATCAATTTAGCCTTGACAATGACCATTAAATAAGTAAACTTTCAAAGACGAAATTATGGACAAGGGTACGTTGATAAGCTGTGATGTTCTTTGTGAAAATTATCGCAGTTCTCGACCTTCTTATCGCGGGGGCAATGTTAACGAAACATAAGTGTAACAAAATTATTTGCAGTACAGTTGACCACACGCAGGATCCCACCAGAATAAACTTTGACATTTAAGGAAGAAATGTTGACTTTTTTTTTACAACTACAAAGAAAACGAAGCAAATTCAAATTTGATGTACTTAACCTCATGAAATTCTGGTGGAATCGCGTACTTTGTAAATGCTGGTGTTAACTAAAACGTATTTAGTTTTGTTTGGTTCTTGCAATAACATCACCGGCCCATTCCCACGATACGTTATTACATGACGCCAACGGATGATGTCTCTTTATGCCGTCTAATTTGTGTACGATCCATAAACCACTGAACGATGCATCCGTGAGCGTAATGGAGTATACTTGTAGCGATTTTCTATACGTAAGTTGGTTACAATAGATATTTTGATAGGGTTCTTAAGCATTCAATGCAGCTTTTAAAAATTGTTTTGTATGTCTCTTTACATTTGTCATTTCTTCGGGCTGATTACGTTATGAATATCTTAAGAAAAAGTTGATTAGAATTTTAGCTTAAAAGCACAAATTTTATACTCACAATTTTGTCACTCTAAACATTAGAGGTGCTAGGCAAGTTTTGCCAAAAACTAATGAAGACTATTTATTTAAATCTGCCGGAGGTGGATTGCCTGGTTTCAATAGTTCTTTTAACCAAAATCAATATAGTATTCAAATAAATTTGGTTTTGACTTTAACTTTAATTGAGCAGTTTCAAGGTTTGTATTGATGGGAATATTACAGAATAAACTGTTTTATACATTTCATCGCGTTACATAATTACAACTTTAAAACTCCCGGAGTTTCGAGCATTACACAGCATAAATACTTACTATATTTACGTAGATATTGTACGGATGGGCTATAACCGCGATCGCCTTTTATTTTTTACTAGCTGTGCCCGCGACTTCGTCCGCGTGGAATTTAAAATAAAAAGTAATTCTAAAACAAAAGTAGCCTAAGTTACTCCTCATTACATCAGCTATCTTCCAGTGAAAGTTCCGTCCAAAATGTTTCCACTCGTTTCAGAAATTAGCCGGAACAAACAGACAGTCAGACAGACAAACAAAAATTGTAAAAAATTTTATTTTAGTATATGTGTATACATCCATACACATATTATGCATTTAGTGAAACGCGGTTATTTTAATATTACAAACAGACACTCCAATTTTATTTATTCAAAAAAGAAAGAGGTTTCTCAATTCGACCGTATATACATATATTTTTTTAATGTGTGTTCTCGGATAACTTCGTCGTTTATGAGCCGATTTTGATGATTCTTTTTTTGTTGAAAAGGAGACATCCCAAGGGTGGTACCATGATAAGGAAACCCTAATTTGATGATGGCATCCTTGAGAAATCGAGGGCAATCCTCAAATGTTTTAGGTATTAACAACGTTTTTTAGTTTCCGTTTTGAAGTCGGTTTTTTTTTTACAAGTTATTACTTATCTGTATAGATACAACACTAGCTGACACACGGGTATCGACTTAGTTTGCTTTGAATTTATTTTATCTACAGAGAAGAATACATCAAAAAGTTTAGAAAATGAAATACTTTGCACAAAAACTCAATGCTCATGATAACTTATGAATGTCTTATTTCTAGAAATTATAATAAATTTACATTAAATAAACACATCAAACATTTTTATTTGTTAAGGATCTAGGTCCTTAACTATACTGATATCTAAACTTAAAAGAATTATCTGATATCTATCTAGAATTTTTTCCGAGATGCCTGCACAACGGCGGAATTCAATCATTTTATTTATATAGATAGAAGGTTACTAAATGAAACTAATTTTACGAAATTATGGCGTTTTTTTCACAACGTTTCGAATCCTCTGCGTTCATGCTAAGAGACAGACTGAGGCGTTGGACATCTGAATGTCTCAATTTTGTGTCGATCTACGCAGATGTCTATTATGTCTTGGGGATAGAACATATGAAAGGAAACACTTGATCTGCAGGGTACTTCGGAAAAGTCTAGAGCGCAGAGCGGCCTCGGATCCCCACTTGGTTCCCAAATAAAATCATGAAGACAATCTCCCCCAACGATTTAGCCAAATTGGGTAATTGAGTTCGGTCCGCCGCGTCGCTTCGCCCGCTTCGATCGCCGGTCAAGTGATTGTACAGAGAAATTGTGAGGGCTGAACGCAAGCAGGCCTATCTCTGTATAAGTATTATTTCTCGAACGCGTCCATAACTTCCATAATTCTCCACCGAATATAATATAGATCTAGACACCATTTCAAAACTCATGTTTGATGCTGTTGAAAAAATTAAGTTTATAAAAAAAAATCCCATCTATTGACAATTTAAGTGAAAGGTTTCGAAGGAGATTTTAAAAAGTTATTCTTCAAAATAAGATACCTCTCATTGAAATACACTAATTAATTATTTGCACATTATTATATTACCCTACAGTGACTTTTCCCGGTACTGTGTGTTCGGCAACTAAATATTACACAGACAGACGAAAATATAGAACGCTAATAAAATATAAACTTTATCTATAAAATAGTTAAACAGCCAATACACTGCTGCAGGAAGGCCTAATCTGTAAAGATGGTATTCTTCTGTATATATATTCTACTACGCAACATCACTGCCGATATAATATATTTCATGTATGTGAATTCATATCTTATTTATCTCATATTTCGGATATCTTCGAAATATTTTTTTTATTATTATTTCGTAAATACGCAGGTTTCCTCACATTATCCTTTACCACTGAACAGGTGATAGTTCTGCAGTTGAAATTGACAGTTTCATTGGTGCTGGCACCGGGATTTTAACTAGGGTTGCCCGAGTATGTTGAATTAAAATCGAGCTGTCACGGCACTCTTGCTATTCAGCAAAAGTCTATAAATCCAACTTTGTTGCAACTCTTTAGTTCAGCACACATTAACTCTTAAAAAGTTTCTCTCTTTGCAACTTTGTTGCGTAAAGTGACTCCCAATTTTGTCTTTTGTATAACTTAACTCAGAACGATTAATTAAGACCTATTGTGTGTCATTAAAGAACTACTGATGACTCCGTGACGCAGTTGCCAAGGTATTGGATACGGCGTCGGGGGACGCGGGTTCGATTCCCACACGGGACAACTATTTGTGCGACCCACAGATAGTTGTTTCGCGTGTGGGTGTTTGTCCTTGTGCAATTTATGTTTGCAAAATGTCCTTTCAACACAGGATAATGTTATCCTAAAGTGAGGGCAATGTTTTTAAAAATTAACTAAAAAAAGCAAAAAACTACCATGGACATAGTGCACGCTTCATTAAATTGATAACCACTATCAATCTTAGCATTGGAATGTTCCCAAACAGCTCGAATCATGTTTACAGCTGATTCATATTTGTTTACTTGGCCCATTCGACCCGGAACCTAGCACCTAGTTAATACACTGTTGTTCTAATGCCTACTGAAGCCACATGACCCATCAATGTTATCCACTAGATAAAGGGAGTAATTTGTTTGCAATGATAATAATTTACCATTTGACGATATATTATTTAATGTATTGTTCATCTGTTGACTCAACGAACAGTAATTAACTTTGATACATAATTATATTTGGACCCAATTTACATCCTCTTAAGTGCCGATAATGGATCTTTCTTGTTTGTACAAGTCAGCTTTATTATTATTTAGTTAACATAGCTGTTAACTGTTAACATAGCGATAATAGTTTATTGTGGACGGCTAAGACAAAGAATATGTTAACTTTTCTTTTACTTAACTTTCCCTTTATCGATTAAAACAGTAAATTAAAAAAAACTTACTATACAAGCTTTGTTTGTTTCAGATTGCTCACTGTCATGTCAAGGAAGTAAGTATAGTGCATAGATATTTCACACTGTGTTTGTCGTATCTCAAGGACAATGCCTGATTGAATCTTAAAAGATACACCTAATTATATACGGTAGGTAGCGTCACGAGTCGGTGGTGACATGACCCAAAGTGGCGAATGCAACAAAGTGAAAGTCGAAATTTCTTTATTCAATATAGTCTTATTTTAAGCTCTTATTGAACATCAAAAACCTACCACCGGAGGACCTGTCCAGAGAAGAACCGATAATAAACTCTGCGGTCTTGTCATCTTACATTTTGTTACTAATTACATAAGTTCACAAGATCATTTAAATACAAAATCAGCAGCAAACGTGGTACTTGCAAGTGCAGAGCAAGAGTCATTCCCACACATCCTCCTCCTCAATGTATACTTCGACATTATAATAGGCCCTTACCATTAGATTAGCTTTTACATACTGTTTAAAAGAAACTCAAATGAAAAAAAATTATTCATGTTAGTGATAACTAATAATTTTCAATCAGATACAGATCAAGGAAATCTCCACCTCTGAACAATGGAGCCCGTTGCCCAGCAGTTTTGCTATCGTCAGCGGTCAATTATCGAAGAGCCTTTCGATATTTTCAGCATCATCGTCCCCGACATTCCTGGACGGCCACACATATAACTATGGCTTTGACGGTGCCGTCTCGATATATGTGACCGGAGCAGAGAAACAGGAGACAGGTGTCAAGATTTTCGGGCAGGTGTCTGTGACCGCATTGGGCAACTGTGCCCTCGCGCTTAAGGTCAACTCTATGACCATTTCGGGTCCTGACGGCAAGGTAAAATAATATAAACTTTAATATGTGACTACCTATTTGGTTGACAATTTTCTTTGTTATGTGCTCCTAGTAAAACATAGATACGTTAATTTTTCTCATAGGTTTTATCAAACAAAATACTTCCGTATGATGTTTTTTGATTGTGAATTGATCTAGAGATATTGTAATCAGAATAGATTTTAAAATTAATCGTTTCTTTCAGAAATTCCCCAGCCCGCCTGGCATCGATAAGGCGGTACAGTTCAGCCTACAAGATGGTCGCGTTGGTCCGGAAATATGTGCAGAGGACGGAGACACCAGACGCTCGCTTAATATTAAGAGAGCCATCATCTCAATGCTCCAGACTGAGCAGAAACCTTCGACACAGGCATGCCCTATATGCGTAGCATAATAATATGGATGTTAACAATGTTGCAGACATTTAAGCGAATGTGAATAGCGATTGGAGTAATTATAACAAGAAATTTCTAGAAAGTTATTGACATTCTTCAATTTTGGATAGGTGGACGTGTTCGGTTCCTGCTTTACTGAAGCCTCATCGTCCCAAGAAGGCGGTGCCACTTTGGTGCATCGCAGCCGCGACCTCTCACGCTGCGCGCATCGTGAACAAGGAAGAAACGACTTCTTGACGGCCGTCTACAATCCAACAGCTGTAAATATGTCCCGATAATTTCAAATTTTTCGTGTCGCTCGACGTCATCTTAAACATATGATGGAGAAAACAAAAGCATAAGTTTCTGTCACATATTATTCTTCGTTTACTTGCATTAGTGACGTTAATTTTATAAACAAATTAATACTGTAAAAGAACTAAAATATTCATTACAAAAGATTTCACGTGTCAGTAACTGATGGTAATTATAGAACATTATATTAACTTTTACCTTCATTGAAGCCACGTTTCTTGCAATTATCAGGAAATTAAGGACACGCAGATACTTCAGTCAACGTTGAATGTGGAATCGAAGGTAAACAACGGTGTACCGGAGAAGGTGTCGGCCACTGAACAATATCTGTACAAACCCTTCTCGGTCGGCGAAAATGGCGCTCGCGCTGAAGTAAACACCAAACTGACAATGACTGGAACCACACAAGGTGGCGGTAGCCCAGGTAAGACATTTATATTCAATCCATTTGTTTTTCAACTCAAATCTGGGAAGTGCTTGACTACAGTCTCACATGATTTAGCCACCAAAGAATGGATGTATTATTCTATAGAATTTATTCTATAGATTATTCTATTAGTTATGGAAGATGATTTAATAAGAGGTCATTCACTCCACTATTTATTTATGAGATGCTTTTAATAAAACGTTTATAAAGACAACACAAGCTGTTATGTCGGTAATTTCAATCGTAGCAGATATATTAGATCAATGTACATTACAACGCCCTCATTAAGTTACAGCTAATTATAGGGAGAAGTTGAATATGTTGTCAAGACGGGCACAAACGAAAGAATGTTGCCACTTGAAAATAAAATGAAACTAATATAATATAAGGACACATTTTTTTTTTTTTTAGGTAACTGCCCTGAAAGACGCACTATCATTTTTGAGAACCCGCACGGAGTTATGTCTGAAAAGAGCAACTTGCAAAATGCGCTCAGCGTATTAAAAGACACTAGCAAAGCGTTGCAATCCGAAGCATCATCTAAGTCCGCAGGCAAATTTGCTCAGCTTGTCAGGGTGAATATATATTTGTGAACATAATGACCATCGTTTTCATTTCATTTCGTTTGTCGGAAATTTATGCAAATTAATTCACTCTCAATTTCAGGTCTTACGTACCACGAATAAAGATGATTTGATGAAGCTTTTCAACCAAGTCAAAGGCAACAGCCTGGAGAAGTAAGCACACAGTTTTTGGCTTAATAAATTAAAAACATACTGACGTAACGTGAAAATTTTATTTTATTTTCGGTCTCTCTTAACTATGCTTACAGGAGAGTTTACCTAGACGGTCTCCTGCGCACTGGTACAGGTTACAGTATCGAGGCTTCCATTCAGATCCTTAAGGGCAGGGAGTTATCTGGTCTGGAAGAAAAGCTCGTGTTCCTTTCCATGGGTAATGCGAGACATGTCAATGATGAGGCTCTAAAGGCGGCTACTGTAAGTGTTCATAGTAAAAACTTGCTCAAAAAAAAGAAGAAACAGATTTTCTATAAGCGATAAACTTTCTTTCAGACCATCTTGGATAGACCGAACATCCCTAAAGAAGTCTATTTGGGTGTTGGAGCACTAGCAGGTGCCTATTGCAAAGACCACAACTGCCATACAAGCAAATCTGATGGCATCGTTACCCTTAGTAAAAAACTTGCTGCCAAGTTACAAAACTGCAAGCCGAGGAACAAAGTGGAGGAGGATAACGTAAGACCAATTTGGATTATAAAATAAATGTCTCAACAATAAAATGATATTTATTTCAGGTCTTAGCACTGTTAAGAATAAATTGAGTGTATCAAACTGAGAAAAATTACACAAGTGTATAAGAATGACAAAACTTTAATTTTAGATAACACTTATAATTCAATAGTAAAACACTCCAGGGTTTAATAAAAAATGATTTCATTGTTGTAAAGTAAAGTAACAGTCTACACATATCCCTCTGTTGGGCACAAGCCTGCTGTGTAGAGCGGGTTTGGTGGAATTCACATATGTTCTAAATATATTTTTGTCGTTATATCTAAAACATGCAGGCTTCCTAACTATGTTTTCACCAAAGTCAGAACTTAAAATTAACAATTTCATTGGTGCCGGCACCGGGGATCGGACTCAAGTCGCTAAAAGCAAGTCGAAGAAGGCAATCGCCCTGACACTGAGCTATCACGGCTCCTTACTCCTTACTCCTTACAATATTTGGTCGTACTCAAAGAGATCAAGGTACACCCGCGTTCCGGGGCGGTTCTCACCGCTCCCAGCCACCGATTAGCTAATTGACGGCCGACGGCCATCGGGGTTTCGGTCCGAACCGCGACCTCGATGGCCGTTAGATGACAAAAAATACTTAAACGCACGCATGAGCACATGCGTGGCCCTACCCACAGCGGAGGGCCCAAACCCGTGGGTTCTGGCTAGCCCACCGGTTCTGCGTCCGATGAAGCTTTAATCAAAAAAGCAAAAACATCAGTTAATACAAGATACAAGAAGAGATCTATCGTTGGTCTATGAATATCAACCGTATAAATTTCTGCAGGTTGTTGCCGCTCTGAAAGGAATAAGGAATATCAAGCATCTGGAGAACAACTTGGTTGACAAGCTGGTGCACTGCGCTGCAGACGACAGTGTGAAGGCTAGGGTGAGAGTTGCGGCGCTAGAAGCTTTCCTTGCAGACCCCTGTGCTGCTAAGGTAATGATGGCAATTTGTTATCTATAATATCACACACTTGATAAAATATAATAATTTATAATTTATTACGTAAAAGCCAAATTGATTTTATGTACTAGTGATATCAACTGACTGCATGGAATTTATTTCAACAGCAAAGAAAAGTAAAATATAACTCGCTTTTTCTACGGCGTATGATAATAATTGTTTATATTTTTACTTACTGGATTATTTACTTCACAGATTAAAAAGTCCGGCTTGGATTTGATGAAAAATAGACAACTTGACTCTGAAATTCGCATTAAGGCGTACTTGGCCGTTATAGGGTGTCCCTGTGGCAAGTCGGCAAACGAAATAAAGACTCTTTTGGATTCCGAACCAGTCCATCAAGGTAAACACAAAGATTATGAAATAGACCACGATAAAATGTGAGCGCTACGAAACGAAGTCTCCAATAATGACGAAAAATCAATTATTTACTAATTATATTGTAAAACTTTCCAGTGGGACGTTTCATCACCTTGTCTCTCCGCCACATTCGTTCCTCTTCAAACCCTGACAAACGTCTAGCCCGACTGCATTATGGCCAAATCGGAACTCCAAACAAATTTAACATCGATGACAGGTACAATAATTAACATTTACAATATTTACTAAAGGTAAAGAGTGCTAAATACCATCGTATTTACTTTTATACTATTTAATCGCTTTTTCAACGACTACTTTTCTATTACTACTTACTATAAGTTTCACGAAATAAGAACAATTCAACTAAAATGTATTTTGGTCTCAATTCTTTTGAATTAAGATGATCTCATTTGTATTTTGGTTTCAATTTCATAGGAAATACTCATTCTACCGTGAGCAATCGTTCAACATCGACGCTCTGGGTGCCGGAGGTAATGTCGAAGAGATGATCATCTACTCGCAAGATTCCTTCTTACCCCGGTCTGCAAGCTTGAACCTGACTGCCGAAGTTTTTGGACACAACCTCAATATTCTTGAGGTAATTTCCCAGGCCATAATTTGTTACAGCTTTTTATGAAATTGTACCGAAGAACTTTACTTACAGTAGATAATTTCAAACACGTTACAATTTTTAAAAAATCAAGAGAATTGGAGTATTTACTTTAAATTAAAACGACTAACCTGTGTATTAATGCCTTTTGTTAGGTTGGTGGTCGACAAGGAAATCTCGATCGCGTCATCGAACACTTCCTCGGACCTAAAGGATTCCTTCGTTCAAACAAACCTCAAGACATCTACGACAGCCTGGTCGAACGAGTGCAGAAGTCAAAGCAAAAGGTTGAACAAGGCTTGGTGAGGCGTCGCCGCTCAATCCAAAGCGAAGTTGACAATTTTGACAAAAAAGTGAGTAATACATTAAGAAATATAATTATCCTAAACATTTTGTTTTCAAATACGACGATGCAAGAACTTTCATCGAATAATGCATGCAGGCACATATGCGCATATGAATGTATGCGTTAAATATGTAATATTAGTATTGTATAGTATTATTTAGTACAATCTTTTAAAACTATATAGTACATACTATTATTATCATGATAAAAGTTATATCAGTGCATCTCTCTTTGTCTACATCATCCCAAGGTTGATCTTCAGAAAATGCTGTTCATAAGTTTATAATGTTTTATTACTATTCGCCATTCGTCAGTCAGCCAATCAGTGTTAGCTTAATTGAACATACGTAGGGTAGTATTTTTATTTAGATAGTATTATATTGTATGAACTGTAGTATATCAAAATTTACTAATTTATATATATTTATTCTCTCCTCAGGTAAAGGCAGAATCAGTGCCCTACAACAACGAATTGGACCTGGACGTTTACCTGAAGCTTTTCGGCACCGACGCCGTGTTCCTGTCACTCGGTGACGACAAGGGCTTCAACTTCGACAACTTACTCGACCAAGTTATCAGCATACTCCACGATGGTATGAACAAAGTGAAAAACTTCCAGGTACGTTTTGTGCAACTCAAATATTTTCATACTTCTCTTTGAACCCGTCAGTAAACTTATTATAAAATCATTTCTTAATTTCATCATCATCATCCTCCACCTAGGTCTGGTGGAATGAGGCCAGGAGGATCAGAGCCAAAACCACTTAAATCACAACATGTGAATTGTGTTTCAAGTGGTTTTGCCTAAGTTTTTTGCAAACGACCGCCTGCCTGACGTCAACGCTCATTCAGATCCCCAACAATTATGTGTGGCTCACACAAATACTTTTCCCGTGTGGGAATCTAACCCACGAACACTTCGCCACCGAATCATATTTATCTCTTTGTTTCTTTGTGTTAATATACAAATATCCTCAGATATACAGCGTGTCGTTACCATCGCGACAATAAATGAACACACGTCTAACGCTACTTGCCAATAATCATAAAAAAATATTAACGTTAAACAAAATCCATAATTAAAAAAAAATATTTTTCAAACAAACTAATTAAGTAAAAAAGAAACAAAATTTGTAACATCCTATACAACTCGCGCCACAGCGTTGTATTACAAGCCTCTCCTTCTAACAGTATGTGTTGTCTCTTTTAAATTCATTCAACCCATTCATATGCTTTGTGACCTTTACAAATGAACTTTTCGTTACGCTTTTATAGGTAAGGGTGTTCTAAAATTCTTTGTTTTGGAAATTTTAATAACTCTGTAAATATTGATGTTTAAAGAATTTAAATGTTTAGTACAACTTTAAAAACTTATCCCCTATATGTGTGTTTATTTATTGTCGCGATGGTAACGACACGCTGTATGTCAATGAAATTTCTGTAGAGTAATTTAAACATATTTTTTTCAGAATGAAATCCGTGGCCATCTCCTCTTTCTGGACGCAGAACTTGCTTACCCAACATCTACTGGTCTTACGTTAAAACTTGACCTAGTTGGTGCTGCTACTGGACGTGTAGATGTCGGCTCGAATGTTGACATTCGTCAATGTCTCCGCAATCCCGAAAATGCCAAGGTCGACATTAAATTGGTGCCATCTACGGACATTGAAATCTCCGGTGTCATGATGGTAGATGCCGATGCAGTCGGCACTGGTCTGAAAGTCGTCACTAACTTGCATTCTTCCATCGGTGGTCATCTTATCGCCAAGGTATCGTTTCATTGTGCTATATGAATTTAAATTTGTATTAATTAATAAATATTTTTGTGTTATACATTTATTAAATTTCATCTCAAGTGCAGAGAGAAGCTCCAAAAAATTTATATGCTCCAAAACTTTTAATAGCAAAAGTGGCATCTCTAGTTTTCAAATATTTCATTGTAAAATTTTATATGGAAAGTAGTTTTTTACTATAAAGGAATCACCCCAAACATTGTTTAAAAGTGTAATAACAAACAAAGTTGATAAAATACTTTGTGGTTTTCGTCGGTGTGAAGGTAAACCGATGATCTCAATCAGTGGCTAGAGCGTCCGGTGATTTGAACCTGCATCTCGAACGATGCAGCAGCGAAAAAATGTTTATCCACTTTTTCCACAAATTTTTAAAAATATAAAAATCAATATCCTTTAAAAAAAACTTTGATACCCATATTCATTACTTTAAAGCTACTAGAAGTAATGAAATTTTTAATTTCAGGTAATCGAAAACGGCCAAGGTTTCGACATCCATTTCGGCTTACCCGTCGAAAAACAAGAGATACTCGTTGCCTCGAACGAGCTAGTTTACTTTACAGCCGAGCGAGGCCAAATGGAGAAAATAAACCCTGTTAAAGTTGACACCAATATTAAGGAATACAAGGGTTGTTTCGACCAGCTCTCAGATGTCATTGGCCTGACTTTATGCGGAGAGGTATCTGTGCCTTTCTCGTTCTCCGGTAAGTGTATATTCAGCACACTATAAGCTAATTCAAAAGACCCTTAACTAAAATTTCAGTGATTATATCAACAATTTTTATTTCCAGGCCCGGAAGCTCAATCTTCCATTTCGAAGTTTGCTGCCCGCTATCCACTGACTGGACCTGCTACCGTTAAATTAGTATTAGAAAAGAACAACCTTAGGGGTTATCACGTCAAAGGTGTCCTGCGAAGAGATTCGAAATCGGGCAGATTTGGCGTCGAATTTCTCTTTGACGCTGAAGGTAATTTTAGATTATTATGCCAACCTTATTTATATACTTAAAGCTTTTCATGTGATAATATTTTGTGATTCTCAGAGTATTTTTACGTATTGAAATTCTTATTCATTAATTTTTAGGGTGCAAAACTGGCCGTATTCAATTAAATGGCGACTTGCTTTTGTCAAACGAAGAAAGGTCGTTGAAGTTAGCATTAGACTCTCCATTCAAGGTACTATCTGGAGAAGTTGCTTTATTCACGAAACCGAACAAAGAATACGCCCTCCTTACCAAAGCTAAAATAGATAATGCAGAATATTATGGCCGATTAGGATTTGATGTACACAAAGAAGGTCAAAAAGTAATCTACAAGCCAGTCTTAGAGTACTTGCTGCCTGATAACAAGGGGAAGCAAGTGGTGAGGATTGAAGGACAAATAAGTCACAACACGCAAATAAATGAAATCACTTGGAGTTTAAGGAATATAAACGCTGTGTTCTTCCACTCTAATGATCCACTGGAGCTTAATGGACTTTATAGGTCTTCACCAAACGGTTTCAATTTCGACGCCAAAGGGAAAATGGGCCAGCACACCATGCTTTTGATTACTTCTATGAGGAATGCAGAATTCAAATTAGAGTTCCAGAATACTTTAAACCCGTACATAAACTTTAAGATAAATGGTCACTTCGAAAATAATAAAGAGGCAAGTCGTTTACTTATTTCTTACAACGAAAATATCTTATTACTTATAGTTATATTCTTATAAATCGAATATTTATCAACAGGTTATTCACAACGACATCGATCTGTGGTATGGTGGCGATCTTCGCAATTCCGAAAACCGTGTCACGCTTAATCAATTCTATAAACGTTACGATGATTCCAAAGAGTTCAGCATTATCACAAATAACAAATGTAAGTTCAAACTTTAACTTATTCCATAACTGAACTGATTACTTTAAATTTTTAAAACAATTAAATTTCTTATGTGAAATAAATCATAATATTAATTTATTTAGTAAATTATAACTTTTTAGTGATGAACGAGACTTTCATGGTACTTATCCGGACGAGAATCAGATGGGCATGCTCGTCCGGATAAGAACCGTGGCCCTACCACAGTTCCCTGCCATTTCAATATTTCATTGCAGTTGAGATTCACTGTCTTCCACTGAAACTTAAAGCTGAAGCTCAAATCGACAGCAAGAAAGTTGATATTGACGTGGAAGGTCAATACTTTGATAAAAAAGCTGAACTTGATATAGAAGCAAGGACTCAGATCAAGAAACCTGGAGATTATAGTGTAAAAATTACGGCTCAGCTAGACCGTCAAGGCGTAGAGGCATTCGCTAAGAGAGATATTGTCTCTGCTGATAAATCCAATTTCGAAAATTACATTGCTATAAAGGGCATTGGAAAGTATGAATTGTCAGGTATGGTGATTCACAAAAATAAAGTTAATGATGTGAACATTGGAGCGATTGGACATCTGAAGGTCTCTGGCGGAGGCAAGAACGAAAATATTAAGTAAGTACATGTATTAATTAATTGAAATTTTCTCATGGTTGAATCACATAGTCGATCGGATAACATTAACTATTTTAAATAAACCTATATTGAAACTACCCCTTCAATGTCCCATTTAATTGCCCCCCCCCCCGCGCGCGCGTCAAATCGTATGGACGTACTTTCGAAAGCTCCGTGATATACTCCTAATTAAAATTAGTCTTACTTTATTATATAATTAAAAAGTGATTCATATGTACAAATGAAAAACTAGGCTGATTAAAAAGTGTTTTAGTTGAACTGTGAAAGTGCTAATTTGAACAAAATCAAATTGAGTATTTGTGTTGTGTTTTAAGGACCCTTGACTGTCTACCTCAAACTTAATTTTTTGTTTATGTCCCTGTAAAAACTTTTAAGGCAAAGCTCCGGTCAAATAAAATTTGAACGCCTAGACTTATCATTGCCGCAACGATCATACGAAGCAACTTTTTCCTCCTCAAATTACTCAGGAATATTTTATATTTTGAACTTTTATTTTAAAACTACAATGAGCTTGTGTGACGGTTGTAACAAAGGAGTCAAAATCTCAGATAAAATTATCTGCACTCTTTGTGACCGAAACTTCCACTATTTATGCGTTAATATAACAGCGGCATCCTATCGAAAGCTCAATCGTGATGCAAAAAGTACCTGGCTGTGTCCAAATTGTCAGGCAAACAGACCAAAAATTACAGTGGCTGAACCAGTTACCGGCTTATCTACAACTCGCAGTAGCGTAAAGGGTAGCCCCTGTTTCGATGTCGAGATAGGGAAAGAAATTGCTGCCGCTCTTCGTGCCGAACTGCCACGTATACTACGAGAGCAGCTTGAGGGAGAACTATCCGGAATTCTGAGGAAACAATTAGAAGTGGAGCTACCAGAAATACTGAGACATCAATTAGACGAACACATAAAAAAACTTTACCAACAAAACAAGGAGTTAAAAGAAATCATTACATCTCTTACAAATGAAAATAAGAGTCTCCATATAAAGTGTTCAGGTTTGAATACTTCGGTCACGACTTTGACTGAACGCTTGAACGAATTAGAACAACATTTACGCATGAACAATATAGAAATTCAGGGTTTACCGGAAAACTTGTCTGAAAACCCTATAAACATCGTGAAAGAAATAGCTGCTGTTGTATCCCACAAGCTTGAAGAATCAGATATTATTAGTTGTACAAGAGTTGCTAAGATAAATAAAGATAGCAAGAGACCACGAGCGCTTATTACTAAGTTTCGAAGTCCTCGCTGCCGTGACGAATTTTATTCTGCTGTCACTCGCTTCAACCGCCATCACCGAGAAGATAAATTAAACACCACACTGCTTGGCATTGAGGGACCCAGAGCCCCAATCTACGTGTCAGAACATCTCTCACCTGCTAACAAAGCTCTCCACGCTGCTGCTCGACATAAGGCAAAAGAAGCGAGAATTAAGTTTGTCTGGGTGAAACAAGGACGCATATATATAAGAAAGGACGAATCATCGCGTAGTATTTTAATTAAAAATATAGATATACTTGAAAGTTTGTAATTCTTGAGTATATGTACATATTATAATTTTCTACAATATTTATACACTATTGTAATTGTCTGCCATGAATGATCTTTTAAGAGATATAGATGATCTCTCCCTTTGTGATGCCGTATTATGTAAACCTGAGCAATGTACAACTATACTGACTTCACAAAAAAAACACCTCTCTTACATTATTATCTCAAAACATTCTCAGCATTAAAGAAAAAACTTCTATGATCTATTAACTTTACTAAACAGAATAAATACAGTTTGCGATATCATTGTTTTATCGGAGTGTTGGCTCTCTCGTAATCCTATTATTCCAGTTTTGGAAGGCTACAACCATTATAGCACTAAAAATATCTACAATCAAAATGATGGTGTCGTAATCTATATTAACAAAACATTATCAAAGGTAAAAGTAGTTGAGCCTAACATTCATGAATGTAATTGTTTAATAATTACTTTGGGTACTGATATTGCTATTCTAGCAGTCTATCGGCCCTATGCATTTTTGGATCCTTCCACATTCCTACACTCTTTGGACCTTACCCTTAATGATTATAATTCCTTTTCTAATATAATTTTAGTAGGTGATATTAACATTGATATTGCGCACAGCCTTCAAATGACATCCACATTAGATTACCTAGATCTTCTTGCTTTCCATGGGCTTTTTCCGGCACATGTTTTTCAAACTCATGGGCAGACCTGTCTTGATCATGCGATTTTAAAATCCACCCGTTCTAGCAAGGTAATAGTTTTAGAGACAACAGTCACAGACCACTTCGCAGTTTTAATTTCAATTTGTCTTCGTAAAGTTTTACCCAGAAATCACCCCCTTTTTACTAAAATAGATGAAAATAAGCTTACTCAAGCAATGAACAATTTAAATTTTGATCCGGTTTACTCCTCTATCAATACTGATATGGCTGTTAAATTTTTTATAGAACCCATTAGCTTAGCTTTGAGGCAGAGCACTAAAATTTGCAATGTTTCCAACAGAAAGCAATGTCACAAAGCTTGGATCACTCCAGGTTTATTGAGGTGTATGCGTCATAGAGATAATCTATACAAAAAAAGCAAAAAAAACGATCCTCTTAATAAATGCATACTGATTTCGTATAAAAGATATCGTAACTTTTGTAAAAATTTGCTACGCAAGTCTAAAAGAGATTATGAAAAAGTCCAGTTCACAAAGGCAGGTAAGAATTCTAAAAAGTTATGGAGACTGATAAATGATGTCATTAAAAACCAAACGACCAGTCCTCTACCAGTAATCTTCTCTATCTATCGGATGACAAACAAACTTCGATTAACAATCTAAATTCATATTTTGCAACTGTCGGAAAAAATCTCGCTGAAAATATCAATAAACATCCTCCATCATATAATCGTCCAGATGTTCACTCTGACTCCTTTGTATTATTAGAAACCGATATGGCAGAGGTTGAACGTTTAATTATGTCACTTAATAACAGGTATGCAGTAGGTTGGGACGGTATTTCTAACGCTTTTATTAAAAAATATAAAGATATTATTGTCCCTCCTCTAACATATATCTGCAATTTATCCTTGACTTCTGGTATTTTCCCTGAACTTTTTAAAAAAGCAGTTGTTCTTCCTATTTTTAAAACTGGGGATCGTGGGTGATTCGAAAACTACAGGCCCATTTCCATCCTACCCGCTTTGTCCAAAATACTGGAAAAAATAATTAATTCCAGATTTGTCACTTTTTTGGAAAGCCGTAAATTATTGTCGACTAACCAATTTGGCTTCAGAAAGAATCTCTCAACAGCTGATGCAGTCCATAATTTAGTAGATCATGTAGTCAAAAACCTTGACGTGGGACAAAAATGTGCAGCACTTTTTTTGGATTTAGCTAAGGCCTTCGATACGGTCTCGATTCCTATTTTATTATTAAAACTTGAATCTGTAGGTATAAGAGGAGCTCAACTATCGCTTTTTCGTAGCTATCTAACAAATAGAACCCAGTGCATCAAAATCGACACTTACACGAGCTCTGAATTACCAGTCACCTACGGAGTGCCACAAGGCAGTATTCTAGGCCCTAGTCTCTTTTTAGTCTATATAAATGGTCTCTGTAATCTCAACCTACAAAATTCCGCTATTTTCTCATACGCTGACGATACGGCTATTGTTTTTCATTCCAATTCTTGGTCAGAAACTTACCAACTTGCCCAAATTGGGTTTGATACTGTAAGCTCTTGGTTACACAACAACTTTCTAACCCTAAACATTAATAAAACCAAAGTTATTGATTTCTCTATCCGTAATTCGTCTATCTCTAATAGTATCAACCATCAAATAATCGTAAAACCTATTAGTGCTGGCTTTAACATAAATTCATTTGATTCACCAATGTATATTCAAAAAGTGTCTTCTATTGTCCACCTTGGTGTAGTCATCGACCGTAACCTTACCTTTAAAGAGCATATATGTAATTTATCAAACAAGGTTCGTAAGCTTATATATATCTTTATACAACTTCGGAAATCTGCGAATAAAGATGTCGTTACAATGATATACCTTGCTTTCTGCCAATATATATTAAGTTATTGTATCTCTACGTGGGGTGGCGCAGCTAAGACTAATTTTATTCTAATTGAACGAGCTCAAAGAGCAGTTCTTAAGGTGTGCTTCTTCAAACCTCGTCTGTACCCCACAGTTAAATTATATGAAGAAATTCAACTATTAACGGTAAGGCAGCTTTTTGTAATGGCCACTGTCCGGAAACAACACACTTTGACCAACTTTTCAATTGAAGTTATTCGCCGTAATCATTACATCGCTAAATCAATTTCAATAAAAACATCTTTTAGTCATAGATTCTTTGCTTTCCTAGGTCCATACCTATATAATAAATTAAATAGAAAATTATTGTTCTTCAGTTTAAATAATTATCATCTCAAATGTGTACTTCAGGAATGGCTCCTTAAGCAAACTTACGTCCAAACAGAAGAACTTTTGGATGTACCGCTGTAATTTTCGTTTTTACAAATTTACAACACATTCCTTTCTGACCACTGAATTTAATTGATCCCACACACTCTTTCTCTCTATCACACACACACACACACACACACACACACACACACTACATTCTTTAATTATTATATACCGTTTTATATGTTAGTATTTGTTACTCTTGTTTTCCAATTAATGATACTATGGGGTGGTGAACTGGTGTCCTGTATTTACGGGTTTTTTTCAATACCTACTGCAGGCACCAGCGATCCACAACTAATAAATTAATATATCCTTTGAAGTGGAACGAAAGTGTAAACAAATAATATATTATTTTAAGCTATTAGTTGTGGTGAGAAATAAATATTTTATTATTATTATTATTATTATTAATTCACTCAGGTTCGATGTCGGTGTCATCGAAAACGTCAACCTATATTCTTCACACGCCAAGTTATCGACAAACAAGGGTGAATTTTTGGACTTATTGCTCAAAATAAACCGTGGAGCTAACGCCAATGGCCAATTAAAATTCATCCTTAAAGACTCCATAGCCGCAAACGGGCAGTTTGAAGTGACGGACAACGACGGCAAAGGAAACGGGGTGGTTATCATCGACTTTAAGAAAGTAAGTTTTTTATGTGTCTGAACATCAGATTCCTTGTGCTCGTTTTCCTTAAACATATTTAAAAATGTTGCTAAATAAAATCTGACAGAGGTCTTTATCTTGAGTGTTTCTAGTATAATTTCATCACTAATGTTGAACCTAATGTTAAGAAAATGTTTAAAAGTTTAGCTAAACTTTCTAAAAAATTTAGTTATAAACAGAACTTTATTTATAAGTTTATATGATATGCATTTTTCAACATTTTTATGGACCCCAAAGCTGAAATTATTTTAATTTGTGCTATCATAATAATATTGTCCTGTACAGGCACAACGTAAGATAAAGGGTGACGTTAAATTCGTGGTCAAGGACCCGGTTTACAATGCTGATATAGAGTTATTCCTCAACTATGAAAAGGACAACAACGACAAACTGCACATTAGAACAAACAACAAGATGACTGACAAAATAAGTGACTCCAGGTGAGTGACAGACGAAAAATTGTTCAAATGTATGCTAATTAATATAAGGACTTATATATATATTTGGTTTCTTCAAATTATGACCAAAAAACAACAACAACAAACAAACAAGTAATAAGACAATCTCAAACAAATTTAGCACGTTACATTTTTTTTTAGGAATAAGTTCGAGTATGCTGGTAAGATCACTGAGATAAATATAAATAAGAATGGTGAATTAATGGGTGACGACAAGTCCAGCGCTAACGTAGAAGTTGTTCTTCCTACGGAAAGATGTCTCAACATGAAATACAACAGAGCGGTTGTTGAGAAAGATAATGTAAGTTTGTCTAACTTCAATATTTGCTCATACATTTTAACAACAAAACATGCCATTGGGTACAAATACCTTGTTGATAAATCCCAACAAGGTATTTGTACCTATTATTAATAATCATATCAATAAAAATTACAACACAATAACATCAACCAGTGACAAAAATTTTAAAATAGTGATATTGAATCAAAATATAACAAATTAAATGAATATTCTAATAACATTCAACATAATTCGCAAATACGACGCAATTTCAACGGTTAAGTTTTTCGTCCAGTTTCATCTATCTTCAGTATCCTATATATTCGAACTTTCTTATCAGACTCTCAATGGAAACGTCGCCCTCGAGATTTCTGACTCAGAGAAGCGGGGAGCGGCTGGCTCTGCTATCAGCTACAAGGGAAAAATTGTGGATACAAACTTGGACCAGTATACCTTGAACTACGAAGGCCAAATCCAACTGCGTCTGAAGAATGGCAAACAGTTAACAAAATCGATATATTTGAAAAACGTCCCGTTAGGCAATGACGAGTTCAAGGGTGAAATTAAGGCAAGTTTTTCTTAATAATAACAATGATTTTAAAAGATCTAGACACCAGAGTTGGTTGTAAAAATTAGATTATAAGTGATTTGTAGGAGCGAAGTTTTTTTTTAGACATTGCCTTCACTTTAGGAAAACATTATCCTGTATTGTAAGGACGTTTTACAAACATAAATTTCACGTTGGACAAACACCCAGATGCGAACCAACTATCTTTGGGTCGCACAAATAGTTGTCCCGTGTGGGAATCGAACCCACGTCCCCCGACGCCGAAGCCAATACCTTGGCAGCTGCGCCAGGGAGTCATCATTTTTTGCCAGGATCATCCACAAATATCGGACTTAATTAAATCTTATTTTACAGATCGATATCAACGGCAACCTAATACCGAAGCCGGTCTCCTTAACAGCGACTGGAACGTACAACAATAACGAAATGTTTAACAAAAACATCAGGCTTAAAGCTAACTACGGCGACGATACAGCCCTGGAACTAGTCGGCGATGGGGTATATAAGACCGAGGGTGGTGTTCAAAAGTAAGCAATATGTTATACTAGCTGCTGCCCGCGACTACGTCTGCATAGAATAGGCTGAAGGCGTAAACATTCAGACAGAAAGACAGAATACATAAAATATGTATATAAATTATAGCCTATGTCTTATTCTGATGTATAAGCTATATTATTGTAAAGTTTCATTAAAATCCATTCAGTAGTATTTGCGTGAAAGAGTAACAAACATCAATCTATACATACAAACTTTCGCGTCTACCATGTTAGTTATGATTCCTTCGGTTATTTTTGTTTGTGGTTACATTAAAACTATTTATTATTAATCACCCTTAACTAGAGATTACAAAGAGAGACATGAAAATGTCCATAATATTTTCTAACTACTACGAGTAACTTAGCTACAGATATTTCTCATTAGATACACCTTGGTAATTCGATGTTTTAGTACTCTCTGGCCTAGAAAACTTGCGTTAATCAAAATGAATATGCTCGCCCCAATATTAGTACATTCAAGTTGTATTAGTATGCATCGATGACAATTAGCAAGTAATCTATATTACCGATCAAGATCCGTTGCGTTGTTTTAAAGATCTAATCTTACATAGGGACAGACAGACAGCGGGACGACTTTGTTCTATACTACGTAGTGCAAAGTAAATTAACGGCCTAGATACCTCGGCCACGTCCGGCCTACATCCCATTCTGACAAAAGTTCTCCGCCGGACTTCACTTGTCTTCAATAGCTTTTAAAATTTCGAAAGTATGCAGGTTCTCCTACGGTGTTTTCCTTTATGAACACGTGATATATCGGTAAATAAAAGTTTATTCGTGCCGGCACTTGTTGTTAACTGGTTGCTTAACCAGTTGCTCTAGTATACAAGAATTAATAGCCAGCGCCCGGGCACTGGAGTTATACAGCTCATGTATAACTGATGTAATATAAAGGTATCTCATATTGTGCAGTCATTTATAATGTTTTTGCCTGACAGATATGGTAATGACTTCACTCTTTCTCTGCTACTACCATTCGAAAAAGCCCATGACATCAAATGGATATCGAAGGTACAATTCATTACACCTGAGGCCAAGGACTTTACAGAGGTAAGGGTTACCATGCCTTAGTTGATTATTTTCTATTTTAAAAGTTTTTTTTATCACATAAACTATCGCTTTTTAAAATGTCAAAGCAGCTATATAGGCATTTATATATTTAAATACGTTTTTTAAAAAAATTGTATGCTTCGTTTGGAAATAGTAAAGAAAACATTACCCCTACAGTTTACCATCATCGAATCGGTGCAATTGAACGCAGACGTATTCAAAATTGATTCCAACGGAAAGCTCGGCGTCCAAAGTGGAACCGCTGAAATCAAGGTGCTGGTACCTCACCACGATCCATTTGTCCTACACGGCAAATATGATGTCTCAGCTAAGAGTAAGTAGAAAAAACCGGCCCTTAAGGGATTCTCAAAGCATAACCTTTTCCATAATATACAGATAAATTATAAGAAAGATATTTTTCAGAAGAGGTAAAATCAGTCAAGGCCGACCTGCAGGCTCGTTACGGTAAAATTAAGAGGGACTTTAAATTGGTCATCAACGCACCGCCTCGTGAACTGGACGTGTTGCTCGTAGCGAACGCACCAGACGCTGATAAACTGAAGAGATTAGAAATCCAAATTGACAGCAAGGTACGCGACATTTTTTTTTATTTATTAATGATTTTAATAACATTTATTTCGAGTAGAAAAACGACTAAATGTTATACGACTAATAAAAATTTGTCGTACTTCTATATTTTTCAATTTTAAACTCATTTGTAACTAGCGGCGTATTCAGCTCCTAAAGCTATGCTCAATAGATTTCACTGCTTTGTTTATGACATCGGGTAACGAAAATGTTAAATAGCAATTTGTCGTACGGAATAATATTCCCAGTTTCTGTCCTAATGCGTATATTGTAATACAATTTTTTATTACAGAACTCTGCCCCTAACACTTACAGCAACATGCTGACAATCCAAGCCGATGACCGAGTGTACAAAACAGAGGGCGTTGTGGTATACTCAAGAATACAACCTCTCTTTGATCTCAAGTACACAAGTCCCAGTTCGCCAAAATCTAGCAGGTAAATTTGTTACAAGTTATTTTTAAAGAAACTAAACATACTCCTGATTTTTAAACATGATTCATATTTTATTGGTACACAGAATATAAACAAAAAGAAAATCCATTTTTCTTTGTTTAAAAAGTAGTTTAGACCTCATCTCTAGTTGTGTAAGTTGAACGGCGACGTCGATCTATTAACCATCAGCTGTGCCATGCGCTCAATTGCTTAGTCCTCCGTGTTATTTCTAATAAAATAATATAAAATCATTCAAGTCAACATCTAAACTCAATGGATTTCACACCGGACACGGGATAAGAATTTATGTGACTCACAGATAATTCCTCCGGATTTAGTATTTCCTCAGTTCTAAAAGAAAACGTACAGTACCACTGACAACACAATTCACAAGTTGGGTCGACTTCACCTAGATGACGTAAGGCCAAGAGAAAGAGTGAACGCTTAAAAATCTCTCGTTCTTTTTAGGCTGTACCTTAAAGGAGAATCTATTAGCGCATCGAATGGTAAGTTTGAATTGAAATTAGAAAACATCAAGGACATCGATTTCGACGGATCATTCGAGGGCAACGTTCAAAAAGAGAACATCAACCTCAAGGCTCAAGCCAACTCCGGCTACTTCGGTCTGAAGGATTACAAGATGGACATAAGCAGCAAGGATGCTGGCAACGGCAAACGATTGGAGTTCCACGCGACGAATGACAACAAGAATCTGCTTAGTGGCAGGTAAATGCGGCACTGATTAATTTATGCGTATTACGCACGTTTTATTATATTAAATAATAAGCGATGCAGGCTTTAAAAGTTAAGGGTCCACTACTCATGAGTTAGCAATAATAAAGGTGCAGAGCATTATTACAGAAAATTTAAAAGGATTGTCATAGACAGAAGTAGCTAAATGTAAATTTTTCGTTATCATGAAATTGAGTTTTAAAAATGTAAAAGTATATTTTTTTACTTCCAGCACATCCTACATCAGCAAACAGGAGGGGGCGAAAACAATCGTAGAGGGATCCGGTTCGGTGAAACTGAAAGACGAACAGAAACCAGCAAACTTCAAGTACATTCGCACTATTCTCGCAGATGGCAGTGAGGTGCGAAGCTTTACAAATTGCTTTAATTTTTTTTTGTTGAAGGCATATCTAATTACTTAGCATCCTTATGTCTTATATTAAATACTAAAAACACCCTATTCAAAATGCTTACAGAATGTTCGCCCTGTGATCATAAAAACCTATTCTGTTAATTAAACAGATGTTATTTAATGTATTAAAATAGAAAGCTATTATTTATTGCGTCCTCGTTTACCAGACATTCCTGAACCTCGCTATTGGGGAGCGAAGCTACGTTGCGGAATCAAGGATCACAGAATTTGAATACAAGAACTCTTACGTCTACTGTGAGGAAAAGAAACAGTGTGCCAACATCGATCTGCACTCCAAGATCAATGTGATCAGTAAGTTGTTTACAATTAAAGCGCTTTCCACTACCTATTATATAGAATCAATCTATTAATTGATATACAAAACTCTTCGCCATGAAATTGTTTTATGTAAAGAAATATAATGGTTTATAATTTGTGTTTATATAACATGCCTACGGTAATTTTTTTTTATAAAACATTGCCCTTAATGTAGGATAACATTGCCCTGTGTTGTTAGGACATTTTAGATACATTCACGTTGACAAACACCCAGATCCGCAACAATTGTCCACGGGCCACACAAACAGTTCTCCCGTGTGGGAATCGAACCCATGACTCTCGGTGCCGAAGCTAGTAAGTACCTTGGGAACTGCGCCGCGGGGTCATAATAAAGAAATAACTTAAAAAAAAGTAAATTAAAGTAACAGACTATATAACCCACTGCTGAGCAAAGGCCTCCTCTGTACAGAGGGTATCAGGGCATAGTCCACCACGCGGCACCACTGCGGGTTGGCGGACTTCACATAATATGTTCGAATTTTTTTTATTACTTCGCAAATATTGAGGTTTCCTCACAATGTTTTCGTTCACCGTTAAGCACGTGATAAATAACTTTAATAAATAATGAAAAAAAAAACTTTTTATTCACAGAGCCAGGTTTCGTGGAGCATCTAGTAAACGTAGACTTTGATCTACGCAAGCTAGGTTTTGCACCAGAGTTCGGTCTTCAGATATCCAACGAGATGTCGGAGTTCGTGCTGCCTAAATACAGCTTGGATCTCCACGTCAACAAGGATGACAAGAAATACCATCTGCATGTGTACTGCAAGCCTGAAACTGGCCGTAAGTCTAAACTATTGGATCGCGCTAATTTTGTCAAAATTCGCGTTTCCTCTATTGAATTCGATTCTGCGGATTTGAGTAAAGTGTAAACTTTTTTCACAGTGATCCCGGCTGGCATCACAATGAGCATTCCGTCGAGGGTTCTAGCACTTGAGTCTCAACTTCGCTATTCGCCGAACGGGCTGCTGCTTTTCCCGATTCACGGCGAAGTGTCGTTGTACCCTGACAAGAATAGACCGCAGCAAAAGACCGGCGCGAGGATGACCGTGACGGCTGACGTCGCAGACCCTCAAAGCTCCGCGCTCGCCGAGTTCGGATTCAGCCACCCTAGACTTGGCGAAGTGAGTGTAAATTTCTATACAACATACTCAATGGTGAGCCGTGATAGCTCAGTGTCCGGGCGCTCCTGAGTTGAGAGCAACCTGAGTTCGATCCCCGGTGTCAGCACCAATGCAAATTGCTAATCTTAAGTGCTGAATTATCACGTGCTCGGCGAAGGAAAACACACGATTCGAAATAATAACAAAAAAATATTTCCAAAATATGTGATGTCCGCCAATCCACAGTGGGGTCGCGTGGTGGACTATGCCCTGATACCCTCTTTACAGAGGAGGCCTTCGCCCAGCAGTGGGACATTTAAAGGTTGTTGCTTTACTTTTACTTTTATACCCCGTCGCTTGAGGAACAGACGAGCGGAAGACGTAGCGTTGGAAGGCCTCCCTCTAAGTGGACCGACGACATCGTAAGGGTCGTGGGCAATCGGTGGACGCAAACGGCAAAGTGTCGTTCGTTGTGCCGTTCTAAGGGGGAGGCATGTGTTCTCAACAGTGGGCGTCTTACGTTTGATGATGATTTATTTATTTAATTATTTATTTGATACACCAACGAAATAGACGCTGAAGAAATTTAAGTGTACACTAATTATACGGAAAAACATGGTTAAGTGCCAACTCAATTATAGATGTATACGAAATTTCAATTAAATGTGATATTTGCAAGATAAACAGGATTATTTAAACATTGAAAAAACAACGATTAAATTAATATGTATGTGTTAGATTTGAATTTAAATGATGATGATGATGATACTTCATCTCTCAATACTCACTTAACAATGAGTCTTGCCATTTGTTGATTGAATAGACTCGCTCTTGCTATTTTCATCCACAAGCCCATTTACATGTTAATAGATAATTAGGTTGACCGGTAAAAAACAACAGTAGGTTATATTCCCTGAAATGATTTAGCCAAAGACAAAGCTGGACGCAATAAGCGCTATTTTGTTGAGTTGAGTTTGTTTCAATATGGCTACACAAATAGTGCAATATTTTTATATGTCTTACAATATTTTTTTATATAACACTCTTTTCAGAGAGCGATATGATGTGGATGTAACAATTAATTTGACCTGTAATTTGTTCATATTTTAGGAGTTAACGCTGAAGATAAACGGACGACTGGAACGGCCGCAAGAAAATACATTGAAATTTGAAACCTCCGCCGTACTTTCACATAATTGCTTCGGTGGCGTAAGTTCTTTTTTCAAATGTGTAATATATTCTTTTTTTTTTTAAACAAATTGAACCTGCCGCTTAATCCAGTGTCAAAACCAAATTCAATTTCAAATTAAGAACCTGTTTTATTTTTTTGCAGAAACGTGAATCGAAAGTAAGCTTGGAGGTGAATCCCACTCACGTGAAGTTCACGGTAAGATTTCTTGATCGAATTTCAGTACTTTATTCCTTTTAGGGTGATGAGCCTCTTACAAAAGGTTTAATTCTTCCAGTTCGACACACCCCTCGTCAAGGTCATTGACCTGGAAGGTTCAGCGATCGTGAAAGACAACTTGCAACAGGGTGATATCAAATTCCGTCTTTTGGAAGGCAAGCCAGTACAAGTTCACGCTGTGGCCAGGGACTATCAGTATTATGAATTCACCACAGGATACAGCGGTAAGTAATATAGCAAAGGTACCTTGCTTAGAATCATATCCGCTCATCGGTTCAAACTTATTGCTAAATCCTAAAACGCACTTATTTCTTTTCGAGCAGTGTCTGAAAAGAAATAACAGTGCGGTTACAATTAACTCATGAGAAATCATTTATACTCTTACTGTACCGAAATAATATATGTACCGAAATATTACATATTATATATAATATATATTATTATATAATAATTATTATTATATAGTGATGAGAAATGCTGCCAAAACTACACTAATTTATATTGATAGAGTCAATTTAAATAATTTAAAAACTTTAGTTATCGTATTTGCTCGATTGCATCAGTACTCTAATCTTTACATCCAATTTAGATCCATATACTAATTTTAGATGAGTCCGAGCGCAAGCTGACTATCGTCGGAAACCTGCAGCCCGAGAAACGAGTGGACGTGGCAGTTGACATTATATTACCTGGCCACAAGAAGAACATCATTCACGGCGGTCTATTCCTACAAGACAACCTGGTTAAGAGCGAATACGGTCTTTCCAAAGAAAACTTCAACTACTTCGTGGTGGGTTTAACTGATCTAATTAATCATTGCATCGAATCTACAGCGTGTCGTTACCATCGCGACGATAAATGAACACACGTCTAACGCTATCTGCCAATAATCATAAAAAAAATTTACGTTAAACAAAATCCATAAATAAAAAAAATTATCAAACAAACTAATTAAGTAAAAAAGAAACAAAATTTGTAACATCCTATACAACCCGCGCCACAGCGTCGCATTACAAGCCTCTCCTTCTAACAGTATGTTTTGTCTCTTTTAAATTCATTCAACCCATTCATATGCTTTGTGACCTTTACAAATGAACTTTACGTTACGCTTTTATAGGTAAGGGTGTTCTAAAATCCTTTGTTTTGGAAAATTTAATAACTCTGTAAACATTGATGTTTAAAGAATGTAAATGTTTAGGTAATACAATTTTAAAAAGTTATCCCCTATATGTGTATTCATTTATTGTCGCGATTGTAAAGACACGCTGTAAATAGGACTTTCGCTTATGTTAGACGGTGAAAGATGAGTTAGAATATTTTAGAATTGATTTTTAATTTCCAGAACGCGCTTAAGAATGACCTGACCAACCTCCAGACCCGTGTCAAAGAACTTGGAGACAAGAACAGCCAAGAATTCAAACGTACGCTGGACCGCATCAAACCGACGTTCAGTAAACTGGAGCAAGCGTATAGGGAGGACTTACAAAAACTTGTGAACGAGATCGGAAGCGATGAAACACTTAAAGAGATTTCCGAGGCTTTGTAAGTATTCAAAGTGTAACAGTTTCCCTGAGCACAGTTTTCCAGTAAACTAAATCATATAATATAATTTCGACATTTTGGTAGCAGTATTTTGACAATCGGACAATTAATATGTAAGTGTAATACTCCTTTATTGAATAAAGATATTTGAAATTGAACGACCCTACGTGTTCAAGAAAATTTATTAAACTTAACAAGGCCTATACTATTACCTTAGTATTTCAATAAATACGATATGCAAATGTATTCGTACCCTCCAGGAACTTCGTGGTTAAATTCCTGGCCAAACTGGTCGACGACATACTGAAGATGACAAAACCATTGGTTGACAAAATCACTGAGGCAATAACCAACCTTGCTGAAAAGGTCAAGGAGCTCTACGTTAAACAAGTAAGACAAAATATTATTCTTTCTTCTTTCTCCTGTCTCTCACCTAGGTCAGAATACCGTATGAATCATCCTCTTAATGGTATTGGCTAAGCTTTTACGACCGGCCGTCTGCCTGACACCTAACCTCCTTGGGAATAACTGCTGAGATCCTGATCTGTGGGTCTCATGGGCGTAGGAATCGAAACCCCGAAACACGGTGCCGAATCTAATAGTTAAGCAATGGCGCCATCAAGTCATTATAATATTTGTGCCCAGTATTTTTTCAAACCCAGACAAAAATGTCCACGACAACACATTATTAAGCAACTCCACATTTTAAATGAAACTAGTTTACGGATTTTATCGCGTTTTCATTTCGATTTTGAATTTCCCGACGTTCCGAACCCTTTCCAGCGTTCATGGTCACGGGACAGGCTAAGTTGTTACACGTCTTGATGTAATAGTTAACCCCGGCTACCGCCAATTACGCCGGTCTTCTGTTAGGCCATGGTACTTCCTGAACGTACCTGTCCATTTAGCAGAAGCTGTTGCATGGCCCGAAGTTGAAATTTGCTAGCATGAAGTTAGTTGTAATACAATTACAACTAAATAGTAGCTTGATAATAATTCGCTTTGCAGTTGGAGCCGCAAGTCAAAGAGCTGTACGCGAACGTGGCCGCCGTAATAAGCGAATACTTCGATGGCCTGGTGGACACCGCCGCCCACTTCGCTGCCCTCGTCATCGACTTCTTCGAGCGCCACAAGCCCGAGATCGAGGAACTCACCAACACCCTCACCGAGATTTTCAAAGGTCAGTGCACTTATTGCATATTTTATTGATGTTTATCCCTTATCCCACCATGTGGTCGGCCACGCAGCAGCCTCGGCTGTTGCACGAATGGGCAGGCTCGTCCAGGTAAGTACCACGACCTCACAGAAGACCGGCGTGAAGTGGAAGTAGATTACTTTCGCGTTTCGTCTGGTGAGTGAGGTGGCCGGAGCCCAATTTTCAAAAGATTGTCAACGCATCTGCAACCCTCGTGAGTAGCAGATGTCCATGGGCGGCGGTATTCACTTAACATCAGGTGAACCGCCAGTTTGTTTGGCAACTTTTCACATAAAAAAACCAAGGTGGGGTCTACAAAACATGTGAATCATTTTGTAAACGGTTTTGGCTATGATTTTTTACGGCCAGCCGTTTGCCCGACACCAACCCTCCTTGGGAAACAAACACCCACATTCGGAGCAATTATCTGTGGGTCATACAAATTCTTGTCCCGTGTGGGAGTCGCACCCACAACCCCCGGCACCGATGCCAATTAACTTATTAACGGTGCAACAGAGTCATCATCATAAATTATTAATTAAATAGCTTTAATTACTGGCGTTGCGCTTTCTATTTGTTTTAAAATTAGCGATTTCTAGATTGTCATCCGTTTTAAAGCTTCCGATAAAAATCTCTTCAAGTCTATTTTATATTTAATTGTTGCTAACTTTATTAAACACTGCACAGGTTTTGCATGCACATATCAACAGAAAATTCTCATTTTTATTACAAGTGTTTGATTTATCTGTTAAATTGTGAACAATCGTAATATCACCCTCTCAATGTCACCCTCTTCCACAGATTTAACCAAACTACTCGTCACGCAACTGAAAGAATGGCGCGAAAAAGTGTCTCAAATATTTGAAGAGCTCAGTCGGCAAATAAAAGAGCTGCCGATCGTTGGTCAACTCAAGGAAAAAGTAAGCTAATCTTTTCCCTATTGCTAATAATATTCACAAAATTTAAAGCCTCTCATATTTCACATTCTAAAAATATTTTTTTACACCCATAAACACTGATACATTGACGTCATTTTTTTATTGTAATTAATCTAATTTTAATTAAATAAACTGTCTAGCGATCTTGGCACCATGCCGCGTAATATGTAATTTTGATAGATTTAATGATGTAATTGTGGGCCAAGTAAATTGTATATCCCAAGATTATAATTTATTATAAGCTTAGAAGCTTATAAGATTAGAAGCAGAGTGCATTGGGATATACAATTTACTTAAGAAAAGTTAGTTAGTAGTACATTTTAATTACCATATTGGCTTGAGAGGTTGCCTAAATTCTCTACGAATTATTTATGTGTGCAGTGGCAAGAAATGGCAATTTCGGAGCAGGCAATAGCCATGTTGAGCGAAGCCCACAAGGCAATTCGCCAGGTGTTGCCGACTGAAGAGGCTAAGAACTTCGCCGATGAACTTTTCAAATACGTCTCGAAGGTAACATTTGAAATGGTTTAAGATATTATGTGAAAACGAGCATCATTGATTTATTATATACCGCTTATCAAGAGCCGTGATAACTCAGTGTCCGGGCGCTCGCCTTTAATTCAATATACTCGAGCAACCTGAGTTCGATCCCCGGTGCCGGCACCAATGAAATTGTCAATTTTAAGTCCCGAATTATCACGTGCTCAGTGGTGAAGGAAATGATCGCGAGGAAACCTGCTTATCGAAATAATAGAAAAATATATTTCGAAAATATGTGAAGTGCGCCAATCCGCGGGGCCGCGTGGTGCACTATGCCCTGATACCCTCTTTACAGAGGAGGCCTTTGCCCAGCAGTGGGACATTTATAGGCTGTTACTTTACTTTTTTCTTTTAGGCTTATCAATCGGGGAAATAATAAAAATCAATTGACGAAGATTCCCGAAAGTGACAATTACTCTTTCTATCCATTGATGATATTCTTGACAATTATGAATGCAGAACGAATCGACGTCACAAACTATCTTTACGCATAAAGCTTGTTTTTACAAATCCACATTTAAAGAAGAAAATCTGAAATCTAAATCAGAACGCATAATATTAAACAAACGCAAATTACGTGGAAACGATTTCTTTACGTTATATATCGTGGCCGCGCCGAAAGAGTCCTTACAACTTCTCATAATCAGGTTCAATCTTGCCAAACTGAACACGTTTTGACGTATCAATGGAAGCATAGTTTGAGAAACCATTCATTATTCCCTTGTTTTTTCTTCCGTGCTCCCTTGTTTTTCTTGCGTGGCCCTACCACAGCTAAGGTGTTGAAACCTTAGCTGTGGTAGGGCCACGCAACAGTTTTCACTGTTGCACGAATGGGCACGTCCGTCCGCGTGATTACCGCGACCTCACAGAAGACCGGCGTAAAGTAGAGGTGTTACACTTCTGCGTTTCGTCTGGTGAGTGAGGTAGCCGGGGCCCACTTTATTTATAGGCAACGCATTTGCAGCGCTACGGGTGTTGCAAATGTTCATGGCCGGCGTTTGCCACTTTTTCACGTTAAAATAAATATATACATATATATATATTCATCAACTTAATTATAATAAATGACTTGTGCACGTATCAATACAGAAACTGCAACAGCAAAAGGTGGACGAAGCGGCATCGCTGCGAGTCTTGTACGAGAAGTTTGCAGTGGCAGTGAGCTCGATCGTACAGTTCATCCGTACGAACCTCGGCGCCGTGGGGATACCAGTGGCCCCTGCTTTCAGCGCCGTAAGTTAAATTACCGCACCGCTGACGTTGAAGCTATGTTGTCAGGGTTCCGTACTCAAAGGGTGAAACGGGACCCTATTACTAGGACTCCGCTGTCTGCCTGTCCGTCTGTCTGGCACCAGGCTGTATCACATGAACCGTGACAGTTAGACAGTTCAAATTTTCACAAATGATGTATTTCTGTTGCCGCTATAACGACAAATACTAAAAATTAAATTAAATTAAAACATTTAACGGGGCAAACGCAAGGCGGTTGCTAGGTAACTAATAGGTACTTACTGGTTAGTTTATTATGTGATACGGAACTCTTCGTGTGCGCAACCGACACGCACTTAGCTGGTTTTCTTTCTCTTCACGTTGCAGCGGCCTAACAAAGTTTTTGTAGCAGAGATAGACAATGACACGGACGTCTCAACTCACCCGTCTATACGTGAAATCTTGTTATGTTTAAAATGCATTGAAGACTATCTGTTTTTTACTGTTTTTGTTATATATCTAAATAAAAACAATAGGAAAAGCAATAAAATTATTAAAACTCGTGAGACATTATTAACGTAATAATAAGACCTCAGATGAGTCCGAAGCAAGTCTGTACATACACCGCGCTTACGTCAGCCGTCTTATTATTACTAGGAAAAACGTTAATGCTATCTAAAAGTTCCCTTTCGCCTTGGCAGATACCTTGGTCACCGAGCTTCGCACCGATCTCTGCCCCTACCTTAGGCGGAAGTGCCTCTTTCAGCCTGTTCAATCAGCTGCTCCAAGGGGATATACCAGATCCTCTAGCCTTGATCCGGGCATACAGGCCACGCTACCTCAATCCGCTCGACGAGATACCGTCCAAACGTAAGTGTAAACCACGGGTAATGTCCAACGGAAATGATATATGTCCTACCTTTCATCCTATACTTTAGTCTCCCTTCTATCTTCCGTTTTTCCCCATTTTACCTTTTGTCGTGTAATATGTTGTAATCGGTCTAGACTAGAGTTTATTCTGATATTTTTTACTTCCTGAATACTATTCAGGACTTCGCACTAGTCTCAAAGTAAACCGGGAATGTAGTTGTAGTTGGTTTGCTACATTAAAAACTGTATGTTTATTTTGGCCTCTGTAAACTGCACCAAGTTTTCTATTGAAAACAATAATAATTTTTTTCAGTTATTGACATTAATGAGTTTCATATCACTAACTCCTTATGAATAATGTATTTCATTACAGTAGTGCCGGTTTGTTGTTCACTCACATTCATCATCAAAGGCTTGTATGAAGTGACATATTAAAAGCTTGCTGATAATAACGATTCCGATCGTTTCCACCATTTGTTTACAGTCAGAGCGGTGGTCGTTAATGGCCAGCACATCTTCACGTTCGACGGCCGCCACCTGACCTTCCCCGGCACCTGCCGCTACGTCCTCGCCCACGACCACGTCGACCGCAACTTCACGCTGATGATCCAGCTGCAGAACGGAGCGCCCAAGGCGATCATCCTCGAAGACAGGAGCGGCGCCGTCATCGAGATCAAGGAGAACGGTCAAGTGAGTACTGAAGAAATTCATGCACAATATTACGGGTAATTAGGCTGTACTTTTGACGAGACATTTGAAGCGACTGCGACTGCGATATAGTAAGATTACAATTGCAACAGAAAACTTAATCTCTAAGCTAGCATATCGAACCCATTAGAAAATGACTTGGAATCCAACACGAAAATTCATCATATTCTAAAATGAAATCGTAAAAACTTGATAGCTGTGCGGAGGAAGACCCTATCTTAAGCTGATCAGGCTATATACATATAAATAGTATTTATATTGGGTACACAAATAAAACTCTAAACTGTTTCCCGTTCCTGTTTGAATCATTATAACGCATTCTCCAGTCCGGTCCCTTCTCGCAGAAACTGCCTGCCGAAACGGTACCACCGTTACGAACTTACGAACGTATTAATTACTTGTGTAAAATTCGACGTTTCATAAGAAAAGCGCAAGCGTCTATTTGAATAAAGATATTTTGAATGTAATAGATGTAATTTCTTTGTAACATGCTTATAATTTTATAAGATTAGAATAGGTCTGATTGCGTTTATTGAACAACAGGCAGCTTTGAACGGAGCCAACCACGGATTGCCAGTGGCCGAAAAGGAGTCCTTCGCGTTCCGCCAGACTAACGGCAACCTTGGCATCGGCTCCACCTACGGAGTATTGGCCATCTGCTACGGAAAACTCGAGGTAAGAAACGCGTCCAAGCGACACGAATGTGAACTACATCATTCTTGGGTTGATATGACACACAAATTATCCTTGTGAAAACACTGACTGTTTCAATATATTTCAATTAACAATTTTTACGTGCGCGTGAAAATGACTCTTAAAGTGTAAAAACTTTTGCCCAATCTCCATATTTCCTATTATGGAGATTGGTCGGATGTCTTAAAACTTGCAACATTACCGCTTTTTAAAACGGCACTCTACAACAACTATATTACACTTCCTTATCATTTAATAGACTGGACACTAGAAATATGGAATGAGAAATTATTAATGGTAACAAACTAACTTCGACGGACGAACGGAGTTCCACAGAGATCGATTGTTGGAACTCTACTAGTTTTAATCTTGATCAATGATTTAAGCACTCAATAATCCAGATAATATAAGCAGATAAATATTAATAAAGTTTTGCATATGAACAAGACCACCTTATACTTTTTGAACGCCTTAACAGATTTAGTAACCATGGTCAAAATGAGCGGCTTATACTAATCAACGTCATTTAAAAATATTGTATGTTATCGTCGTTCTCATAGTTGTATTATGACTAATTATTTTTCTGCTATAAATAAAATAACTAACATGCGACAAAATAAACGTCTTAGCTATGTTATCATGCATGTACTTGTCCCTAAATAGTAAATGCAATTTTAATAGTAGTGAGAGGCTAAATTAATATCACAATTTATAGTCCACATTTTTGACATAATGTGTGACATTTAGCTTTATTGCGTTTTTGTTTACAGAGCTGCTACATTGAAGTTAGCGGTTTCTATCTTGGCAAGCTGCGGGGTCTTCTCGGTGATGGCAATAACGAGCCTTTCGATGACTTCAGAATGCCCAACGGAAAGGTAAATTAAATGGTTATCAGTTTTTAAAACGACATCATGACTACTTTTACAAACAATTGGAACGAACACTTGCCGAGATTTTATTGCATACAGATAATTGATTAGTTTTCGACCTTGCAAAGATAAAAATAATAAAACTATACAAAGAGCATCACTCGATAGAAGCCGTGGATTAAGGCAGTTTATGATGTATAAACGTAATAATCTAGAATGACGGCTAAGTTACTCTATTATAAAAATATGCACACCTCAAATCTTTACACTTTTATATTATTTTAGCAAAGTTCTAATTTGTAATTTTCTTATTTTTCATTTTTTCCTTTTCTCAAATATAAAAGTTTCTGTTCTCGAATTCAAGTTTGTTTTATAGTGTTATGTTTACCTTAAATACGTACATATATTGTTAGAAATCTATGATTAATTTAACCTTTTTGTATCAATGTTCTGTAGGTATTTAGTTGGCTTAACAAATAAATAGATAGATAAGATTCAATTCAACATCCCACTTACTCCAGATCTCTAACTCGGAATCCGAGTTTGGCAACGCGTACCGCCTCACCGGCAGCTGCCCAGCGGCGAAGACCCCCGAGCACTCTCACCATCAGCTCCACCACATGTCCTTGCCGCCGGCGTGTGAGATGGTCTTCGGCGGAACCTCGCCTTTGAGACCGTTGTCTTTGCTTCTGGACAACGCACCATTCAGGTAATTTGAGATACCTGTCCTATTCGCACCTTATTTGCAGATGTGCAGTGTCACCATCCAGATAATACTGGACTTATTGTATAATCCAGATAATTTCAGCCTGTTTGAGTCCACTGCTGAACACGATTGATTGTTTTGTAGTGACGTTATTTTGTAGCTTACTAAAGTTATACCATGTAATACCTATCTATCATCCTACTTATTTCTACTTTTTTCATCGTTAATGTTAATATCCATAATGTCAACTCTCAGTCTACAACTGTATGTGAAACTGTCGTAAGTTCGATGGGTTGGGAATTGCTGTTGGTCGTGTTATAAGTTTTACTAATAAATCTATAATTATTGTTATAATTAATCTATTCGAAATTACGAAGCACACTTTTTTCGCACAATCTCGTTTTATCAGGATGAAACTGTAGAATTCGGCGTCAATTCCCAGGCAAGCGTGTACTGTCGTAAATTCAAAGGTTTGGAAATTGCAGTGCTATAAGTTTGATTTTTCACGAACCATGGAAGTATGTCGTACTATGGTAGGACCACGCAATAGTGTTCGCTGTTGCACGAATGGGCAGGTCCATCCGTATAAGTACCACGACCTCGTAACACCACAGAAGACCGGCGTAAAGTGGAAGTCTTATGCTTTCACGTTACGTCTCGTGAGCGAGGTAGCCGGGGCCCACTTTAATTAAAGGTATCGCAACGCATCTGCAAATGTTCATGGGCATCACAGGCGAATAAATAAATAAATCGTCATCACATCATATCACTCAACTTCAGGCGAACCGCCAGCTCGTTCGCCACTTTCTCCCATAACATTTTGTTGTTGTTCGATTGTTTCTCAATCTCGCGCTATTGGTATACAAGCGTAATTGTAATTGTAAGTGTTGCAAGTGTATAATTCGTAGTGAATTGGCAGGCAAGCGTGCATCCACGCAGCGAGCGGCGACTCCTCGGAGGCCATCCGCCAGGCTTGCGCGCTGGGGCGCGGCTACGCGGTGCTCGCGCAGACCGGGCTGCTGCCGGCGGCGCTGCCCCCGCGCTGCCTCTCGTGCACGGACGCCGACAAGGAGCGCGCCGTCGGCGACACGTACGAGCTCAAGCTGCCGGCGAAGCAGGCCGACATCATCATCGCCGTGGAGACAACGATCGTAAGTATCGTACTGATCAAATGTATTGTTAGGGTTCCGTACCCAAAGGGTAAAACTGGACCCTATTATTTAGATTCCGCTGTCCACCTGTCACGTCTGTCACCAAGCTGTACAATGCTAATGAACCGTGATAGTTAGACAGTTGAAATTTTCACAGATGATGTATTTCTGTTGCCGCTAAAACAACAAATATCAAAAAACAGAATAAAAAAATATTTAATTAGGTCTTCCGTACAACAGACATGATTTTTTTCGCCGTTTTGAACAAGAATGAAGGACAAGTGTAATAAATATTGTTTATTAATTTTGAATATCATCGTCTAAATTATTTTTAGCACCAATCGGTACGGCCGCATTCATTTATTTGGACACTCTATTTAAGGAGCTGTTTGCTTCGCTCCAATAAAACGTTGTTAAAATTTCAAAAGTAAAATATGATTCGGTGACATTAGATCTTAAGTGATAAGTTTTAGTTGAACTGTATTTGATACATCAAGCGCTGCGATGGTAGACGTTAGTTTTACTGAATCGTCCAGGAACAAGGAATCCGATGAAGCAATAGATCATGATAGCAATAGATTAAACGTTTATTTTCGTTTCAAAACAGGGCAACGAGAAGAATTTCAAGGAATTGGTTGTGCCGCTCGTCTCCCAGCTGATCGACAACTTGAAGAGCAAACGCATCGGTGATATCAAAGTATACCTCGTCGCCATAACCTCCAAATATGCTTACGCCACCGTCCACGATTCTGATTGTGAGTACCAACCATAATAATCGCAATATTTTTACCAGTTAAAAGCGAAAAAATTAAGAAAATTCTAAAATTGAACTTTTTTACCGACTTTTTTACACAACGAACTTTTAACGTTTTTTAGTACGTACATGCAGAAACCTGATAAAAACATCTGCTATTTATTATTTGCTTTAGATTCGCCACTTAAGAAAAGTTAAGACAATATAGATTCTTAATAATGAAGTATTTTTCCCATTTATGTGAAAAGTTGACATCCTACCAGGCGGTTCGCCCGATGTTAAGTAAAAACCGCCGTCCATGGACATTTGTAACACCCGTCTGGTTGCAGATGCGTTATCACTTTTTAATAAAATGGGCCCCGGTTACCTCACTTACCAGACGAAACGCTATCACCTTACGCCGGTCTTCTGTGAGGTCTTAGTACTTCCCCGGACCTGCGTTATCTTTGCGGTTATTTCTACATATCTACTTATTTACCTGCTGCATAACGACATTTATTAACCGTTCGCATCTTTCCAGTGAAACTGAAAACGGCTAATATGAACTTCGACGACGAGAGCCGCTACGAGAAAATGTTCGAGACCGTTAAGACGGGCAATGAGAGAATCGACAATTTCGCACAAACTGCAACAAACGTACTGGACTACTTGAGGAAATCTTTAGGTGTGTAATATATTTAAATAATAATATTCATAAGTATTTAAGAATATATTTACGCAACATAATGACAAACTCAGCAAAGTACTATGAGTACTAGGTATGTTTAAGGTGAGTGATTGTTTGCTAACTGACAGATTAATACTGATTCATTGTTACTAATTATCACGCTTTTCTTTTGTAAGTATATTTTTATATACATTGAATTTACTAGAAAGGCGGTATATTCACTTCTCAATATGTTTCCAGTACTAAAAATCGAACCTACACCGCTTGGTACCTGACGGCGGAAAAATTCATCTATTAAATATTAAACTTATTAATCTTGATAGCATATCCAGGTCACATGCAGGTAACATGTGCCGTAAAAATATAATTATTTCATAGAATAATACAAATAGAATATCATGCGAATTAGAAAAAAATGTTTCCATATCTAAAATTCTCATAAATATAATATTTTTCACACTTCTTGCGAGTCGAAGCTGGAGAATGTGATGTGAATACATAATAGCGATGAACAAATAACAAACACGCTGATGGAACTGAACCGAAGGTTCTGAAATGAATGTAGCTGTAACAGCACGTCCCACAGCTGGGCAAAAGCCTCATCTGAACATAGGATATCATAGTCCACAACGCAACCAGCGGGACTTATCCCTATGGCCACGTTAAGGTATTGTATTTCCCTTATAAATCAGATTACTCTTTGTTTGCAGGCTTTACAAACGTTATGGCAGGCTACAAGGAGTTGGCAGACCTGCCTTTAAGGGCCGGCGCTGTCAAGCACACTATCAGCGTGGTTTCCCAACATTGCCAGAAACAGGACGCATTCGTGAGTCTGAACAAATATTACATAAACGAAGATTGGAAGTCTTTGCTCCTTTGTAATTCTCTCATTAAATACAAATTTAAATAAACTTCTTAAAAGCCAACTTGAGAAACTGTATTAAGGATGTGTAAACACTAAAAGCCAGAGATGTCTCAAACATTAGCTTAAGACAACTTTCTTTTGTAATTAATATATTATTTCTTTCTTTTGTAAATAAGATATTCTTTCTTTTCTAAATAGGATACTGTTTCTTTCTTTTGTAAATAACATAGAAACTTTCTTAGGGAACTGACTGAGTTTCTGTTGTTTTTCAGCTCTCTTTGTTCCGGTCACTCATATACGAAAACGTATACAAGGCGAACGCGCTCACCGCTTCCATCATCACGAACACTCCTCAACTGTCAGAGGGAGACGAGAAACTCAAACAGGCTGCTGGTAAGTCCAAACTAAAAATTTACTAGAAAATTACTTTTATTTACTAGAAATCATTGCCACTAAAATGATCAGTTGTGTTACGGTAACAGTAGCGTTGTTATAAACAAATTTTTTACAATGCACTGGAACTTATTAGGGTCGAAACTATATATTTAAGAAGTCAAGATCCATTTTGATTGAATATTTGTTCTTTTGCTTAATGACTGAAGCATTTGAGTATTAACAAACCTGAATTTGAATCTGGACTAACAATTTGAGTCGAATCTCTTTCTTCCATGATCTCTCCGAAAATGTCTCGAATGATTCAAATCGTATTAAATCAAATACTTTTATTCAATATAGAAGCATTACGCTTTATTATTGATTGTCAATGGTTACCACCGGTTCAGAAAGAAAAGCCACTGACCTGAGAAGGACCGGCGAAAGAAACCCTTTTTTTATACCATTGTTTATCAAATAACGACATGTATATACAAATGTATTAAGAACAATTACAATACAATTGAAAGATCCTGGAGCGATCACTTCATTTCAAGGATGTGGTTTCATTTAATTAATCACTTTACAATTTTTTTGAATTTATAAATTGCAGATGTAGCAGTAGCATAGTTATATATTGTTTAGCACTATAAAAAACTTTAAAATTTATGAAAGCAACGGCGACATCTCTCGTTCGAATTATCGTTATAAAACGATATTCGAAATTGTTTTGCTGAAAGGAATAATTGCAATGATGCGCCAGCATGGCTTAAAAAACTTTAAAATTTATGAAAGCAATGGCGACATCGAAAAAACGATTTTCGAAATTGTTTGTATGCTGGAAAGGATATAACAATAGATGCGCCAAGCATTGCTTCAAATGCTAAATAACAATGTAGAAAGAAGGCGTTAAGATTTTCATCGCTGTGGCTATCAGCCGTTTAGCTCAGTGGCTAGAGCGTCAGGCCGCAAATGCCGAAGACGTGGGTTCGATTCCTACAGCGGCGACAATCTTTTCGTACTTTTTCTACATGTTTTAATGTTCAATCTTAAGTGCAGAGATTAGCACTATAAAAAACTTTAAAATTTATATATTGTATCTTATAATTTCTTTGTACAGGATACACAAAGAACTCCGTGCTTTTGTGTGGCGATAAGAAGCAGAAGGACACAGAAGCACTCCGTGCCACTATTAAATCAAGTGACAACGAATGCATCAATTTCGTTGAATCTGTAAGAAAACGTTTTAAATTTTATGTATTTTCTGTAATTTTTTCGCTAATATTAATTATAATTGACTTTTTCTACATGATCGTCTATTTTTTGCTAGTGTCGTTTGTTGATCAGATTAAATGTTATTAATACTATTTATTCAGTTATCATGGCCAATTGTTGCAGGTCGACGGTTTCGTCTTCTCCGCTTCGAACTACGAGGCGATGAACCCTGGCATGCAGAAGCAGTTCCTGCAGACCGCGGCTGGCGCCATCAGCAAGGAGATGCTGAGAGAGGTGTTGGTCCAACAGTGCACATGCAGCTACGTAGACCCCTTGAGGGCGCGCTCCGTTTGCGTCACCAAGGAAAGGAAGGAAGCGGTAAGGCGTTCTGACTTAAAGTAAAGTACTAGCCTATACATGACTCACCGCTGGGCAAAGGCCTCCTCTGTACAGGGTATCAGGGCAAGGTCCCGCGGCCCCACTGCGGATTGACGGCCTTCACATATCTTCGAAGTATTCATTTTTCATTATTATTTCGAAGATATGCAGGTTTCCTCACGATGTTTTCCTTCACCGCCGAGCACGTGATAATTCAGCACTTAAAATTAACAATATCATTGGTGCCGGCACCGGGGATCGAAGTCAGGTTGCTCTCGAGTATATTGAATTAACGGCTAACGCCCGGACACTGAGCTATCACGGCTGACTTGATTTTAAAGAATTTTATTGTGAGAAGGCGGCAAGTGAGCTGGCGTGTGACCTGATGTTAAGTTCCACGCCCATGGACATTTGCTATACCCGAGTTGCATATGCCGCCTTTTATTAAAGTGGTCTCAGGATACCACACTCAGTAGAAACGCAGAAGAATGACACGTCCACATCACGCCGGTCTTCTATGAGGTTGTCTTGCTGATCCGAATGGACATGTCCATTCGTGCAACCACCCCAAAGATGTTACGTGTCCTACCACAAGGAACAAGCAGTTCTTTTTGAAGCGATAACCACTCATTGGCATTGGCAAACCAAAGTTGCTAGCAGATCTGTCGCCAATTTGTGGGGGAAATATGATTCTAATTACCATATCCAGCGGAGGAAACGTAAAATTTGGCAGTGGAGCAGAACGTAAAATATCGAAGATACCGGCCGATGGTTTTCCATCGGGTGGCGTTTTATCCCCATTACTCTTCTCTTTTTTAACCGACTTCAAAAAAAGGAGAAGGTTCCCAATTCGACTGCATTTTTTTTATAAAACTTATATTTATAATTATATTATTATATTTTTAATTAACTTGATATACACATACATTATCATACATTTAGACCGATCAAAGGTGTAGCTCCACTCAATTTTTAAACTTATTCGGTGTTTAGGGTTGTGGCAGTAATTTTTATATGAATTCAATTTGACTAATAGAAGTTTATTTACAGGCCCGCCGGCGAAAGTAAATGAGACGGGGCTCACAGCGTCATCTGTGATCAGCATCGTCATGCCATGTGTACCAAATACCCGTAGTTTTAAGTAAATGAGCTCTAACGGGACTTACCGCGTAGTACGGAAAGTTAATTTCCAAGATCTTTTCAGCAGTTAATTTATTTTCAATCTATATCTAGTTTTATTTGCGTGGTAGTTTTTAAATATTTATAAATTAATTGAATTTATGTACAAGTTGGCAATGTTTATATAAATGGAGAAATCATTCGACATGTTAAAAGCTAAAAGCCATGGATAGCTAAAAGAAATGGATCCATTTAGACGATTGGGGACAAATCAAGACCGTTGAGTTCCGTTAAAGCTCGTAGTTTATATATGAGATGTCCTGTTTATTATGAATAAGATATCTATTTATAACGAAATGCCATCAGAGGTAATAAATTAATCAATCTTTGTATTAGATATAATAAAACATGTTATTAATATGAGGACTTTATTATTTTACCAGTTGATACACAAAAGCTGCACTGCGCATTTTTAGGTTCGTTTTTTTTTTTTTTTATAAACAACTAGTCAGTGCTCGATTGCCACCCCACCAATCGCTACTCTTGCTACGTGGTTAATCCGACACTGCTTGTATACTAACAGTTTATTTCTCTTCACAGTAATTAGATATTCCTACACTTGGCATATTTTAACATATACTTCATGTTGCCGATATAATTATGATTAATTGATCATTTTTAGGGACATAAAAACAACAGTATTCGCTTAAAGCGTATTTTATTGAAAACATGTACAAAATTATGCACAAAAATATGCAAAAAAAATGTACAAAATTATGCAAAATTATACAGGGTGGCTTTTTTAAAGGTGCCCAAATTCACACAGGAGGTTGAGACTCTATAGTATAATCGTTTATTGAAATAAAAACATTTTTTTTTTAAAAATTGTCATTCTATTACCTAAAAAACATAACTTGTTAACAATGCGGCTCATTCATAAATATGCATTCTATGCGGCCGCTGCCCTTAGCCCTTCGTTAGTTTCAATTCGACCGTGACCTAATTACGGCCGCACGTGCTAATACTAGATTTGCTTATCTCTAACGATGTCGGAACAACAACGCAGTTATTAGCACCGCGAGAGTTACGAGATTGTACGGTGCTTTATTTTAAGTGCTGAAAGTTTACGTGGTGCGCAAATACTTTATGAAAGTGACCCAGGCAATGACCACAAGTGTACGTAATCGAAGGACGATTTTGGTAGCCAACCAAAGGTTAAAACTTGTAGAAAGAGTAGAAAAGATCGTCGCCGCTGTGGGAATCGAACCCACGTCTTCGCGGCTTTTAGCTTTAGCCATGAACCCGAACGGCCGATTGCTACACCGACGAAATGCAGAGATTAAAACTATTAAAAAAAAAAAGAAATAATTTCCACCAAAGGTTTATTAGATTTTGGACAATTTACACTATTATATATTTACAATAATAGTTTATGTTAAAAAAATAGTTTGAAAAAGCATGCTCAGCTTTGTATCGAGAGAAATGGACTCAAATTTGAACAATTGTTAAAATATCGATGAATACTTTTTTGACTAAATAAATAGGTAAGTTTAATTGTTATTATAGTTCATTCCACTTTATAAATAGCCCATAATAACATCTAACAGTAGTGTGATTTTAAAATAATAAAGTAGTATTTTAGTATGCACTTTATTATGATGGGCCTTATCCCGTTCTAAGTATGAAGGAAAATTGGGATCATAAACGCATACGCGTGTGGTAACAAAGTTTAGTTGTTTGCGTGTCACATTATGCGTCGTATACTTTTGAAACGAAAATAAATGAGTCGCCTATAAATCACGCACATGAGATAAGTAAACGTAATTAATTAATTACGGCCGATTTTAAATATTTATATTTTTTTATACAACATTATTTATGTCTATTACAAAAAAAAATGGATACACTTGGAAAAGCCTCCCTGTATTACAGCTTAAACTTAAGACACGTAAATTCACTTATTTCCCGCCAAAATCGGTCAGTAGTTGTAGTAGTTCTTGCGCACCCAACGGATCCTGGCTCCTCGTTGCGACATGATCTTCACCGAGGCGGCAGCCGCCGCAGCCACCACCTCCTGGATCTGTTCCACAGAAGCGAAACACGCACCGTTGTTATCTTATGCCACACTTCGTTATACATCCACACTAATATTATAAATGCGAAATTGACAGTAAACGCTAAAGATCTCTGTCCGTCTGAAGCTAAAACTACTGAACGGATTGAAAAGAAATTTGGTGCACAGATAGTCTAGAGAAAGGACATAGGCTGTTTTTAATTGGATTTTTTTTTTAAAGAAAGATATTTATTTAAACGCTACAACGCGAGCCAAGCCGCGGGCGAAAAGCTAGTATACCAATAACAATACTGGTATACACGCTTTCATCAACTTCGTGTCATTTCAACTGAGAGTAAACCAAATAATATATTAATTATAACTTTGAGTGAAAAACTCAAACTCGGTCTAATGGATAAGATGTCAAGCTTGCAATATTAAAGTGAAGTTGAAATCACTTCCTTTTTTCAAATGACGACTCGATAGGCTTTATTTTCTCAGTACTGGGGATATTTCGATCTGAATACCGGATATTTCGATCCCCAGTAGTTTTAGTTCAACTTAGTATATTTCTGATGGCTATCCATCATATTACCTATATTTTTGCGACCGGCCGCCTACCTGACGTCAACTCTCCTTGGGAAACAAACAACCAGATCCGGAACAGAAACTGTGGTTCACACAAACACTTGTCCCGTGTGGGAATCGAACCCACGGCCCCCGACGCCGAAGCCGTTTTTTTTTTGAATAAGTCGGTATCGATAGTTACAATTTTTGCCTGATTTGGGAATAGATTTTGTCGAATAAAGGTATGTCCTGACATACCATAGTCATTTACTCATTGAAATATCGTTTTGTCAAAATATGAAAATTTGTATCCAACAGTTACGCAGACTGTTATTTGTACCAGGCGTAAAGATGGTGAAACGTGCTTAAGCCCCATTATGTTCATTTCCGTTAACCACATCATCACAATTACGGAAAGTAATAAGCAATTCTATTGGGTAATTTATTAATAATTTTTGAATGAGAATATATATTGTACATGAATTGACGTATTGGATAGTGAAACTTCCTCTTGCGATAGAAATGAAAATTATTGTGTAATGAACATTATTCCAGTGTCTGGGTGTTATACAGCGTGTCGTTACCACCGCGACAATAAATGAACACACATATAGATGATAACTTTTTAAAATTGTATTAAACATTTACATTCTTTAAACATCAATATTTACAGTTATTAAATTTTCCAAAAAAAAGAATTTTAGATCACCCTAAGGGTCCGTTCACACAGACCGGCTCGGAGAGCATCGGCCTGCTTTTTTCTTTTCACACAGACCGGGTCGTATACGCTTGGAATTGGCCGGAGCGGAGCCGCCAACTATTTCACATCGACCGGCTGGAAGAGATCTGAAAGCGGGTGCGGTTGGATGTGCTCGGAGCCGGTCGGATGCGCTCGGAGTCGGGTGGATACACTACAAAGGCAGTGCCAGTATTCCGCGCAGTCTAAGTTTTGTTTTCGGTGTGTTAACGTGTGCTTTTCGAAACATGGATTTAGATAGCTCCGACGAAGAAATATATTTGTTAGCAAGATTACTTGAAATAGAACATAGGAAACGTAAGCGCAAGCGGAAACAAATATGGGTAAAACATATTTGGAAAAAACAGACTAATCCATGGCGAGTTTCACACCATTTTCGAGGAATTGAAGAGAGATAGCCTAAAATTTTATGAGTATTATCGTATGGAATATTGGCAATTTTTGAAATTGACAGATTTGTTAAGAGTACATATAACAAAAAAGACTACAAATTATCGTTGCACCATTACAGCCGAAGAAAGGTTAACGGTAACTTTAAGGTAAATAAAAAACAATTATTTATACTAATCATGTTATTTAGATCACAAAATCACAGCCCTCCATTTATTAAGCATTGTTTACGTTAATGAAATGTAAATTACTTATACTAATCATGTTAAATAACACAAACATCTAAATAGATCACAAAATCACAGCCCTCCATTTATTAAGCATTATTTACGTTAATGAAATGTAATTAAATAGTACAGATTTGTGTGTGTTTAATTATTATTATTATAATTATTATTGTTTTTGATTGTTTATTATTTTGTATTTTGTGTGCTGGTATTGTACCCGTAAGTAGTCTGATCTGGATAGTTTTGAGGAATATAGGTTTCGTTTGACACTAGGTAAGTAGATTGATTAGTCGATGGCGGTGAATTTATAGACAAAGAATAATTCAAATCTGTACTATTTTCATACAGACTTAATTCAGCTTCATTAACAATGTTAAACACGCGCCTTTTAATTCGTGCTTGGACTTCTTTTGGGAATGTTTCCACTGTATCTGACATAGACAAAAAAAAATTACGTAATGCCTTGTCACGGGGTGTAGTATTTCTTTTTTCTTCAAGATACTCTTCGAAAACCGTAGCAACATCTTTGCTTAAGCGTGGTCTCTTTTTCGAGCCAGAAGTACTTGCAAGCGATTCAACTTCAGAATGGTCAGAACGTTTAGATGATGTCGATGGTGGTGGTATTGGTGTGCCAGGCTCTGAATCATCCGATGATAATGTTACATTAGATATTTGGTTTCGATTGCGAAAAAAATGGTATTATAAAAGAAAGTTCTTTTTCAAATTTTATCAATTTGGACGTAGTTGCACCATCGCCACTCTTGCCTTTTCGGTTATAATAGGCTTTTCTGAAGTTATCTCGCAGTTTCTTCCAACGATCCTGGCACTGCGTCACTGGAAAGAACAGAAATGAAAAATTAATAACATAACTCTTTTTTATTTTATAGTTCGTTTTGGTACGGCAGTCTTATATTTCTATTTTGTGTGTTTGTTTTATTTTACAGATTCCTCATCACTGGTTGCAGTTTCAAAAACTTGTCATTTAATTTTCGAATGGGAATTTCTACAGTTCATTCAATTATTCATGAGACAATCAGAGTAATTTGTGATGTTTTGATGCCCATAGTTATGCAGATGCCAGATGAAGAAATGTGGGAAAAGGTTTCACGTGATTTCTTTAATATTTGGAATTTTTCCTAACTGTTTGGGCGCTATAGACGGAAAGCATGTCAATATACAGGCACCAGATAATAGTGGAAGCTTATACTATAATTATAAAAACTTTTTCAGTACAGTGTTACTAGCTGTGGTCGACGCGAAATACAGTTTTTTAATTGTTGATGTCGGATCATATGGTAAAAATAGCGACGGCGGAATTTTACAGAATTCAAAATTTTGGAAAAAACTCAACACCAATAAGTTAAAGCTGCCCCCAAATAAACCTCTACCTAGTACCACTGAAAGCTTACCACATGTTTTTATAGGAGACGAGGCATTTCCTTTGAGCAATAATATATTGCGGCCGTATCCAAGAGAACAAGCAAGAACAGAATTATCAAAAAAAAGTATTTAATCTGCGTTTAAGCAGGGCAAGAAAAGTCGTAGAATGTGCATTTGGAATGCTAACTCAAAGATTTGAAATTTATCAAAAACGAATGAAAATTCAGCCGAAGTACTGTGATTTAATTATATTAGCAACTACATGTTTACATAATTTTTTAATAGAAAATCGGACGCCAGGACAAGAGAATGAATTTCACAGCAATATAAATTTATTAACAGCAATAACAGACAATAATAATGAAAACAGTTCTAATAGCGACGCAGTTCTAACCACAAGGAATAAATTTAAGGATTATTTTTCATCAAGTGGTGCTTTAGATTGGCAAGATCAAGTGGCTACGCGAGTTTCTTAAGTTATATTTAATAAAAATTGTCTACTACATAAGTATATTCTAACGATCAGATACTCAAACGAGTTTTTAAAGTAAGGGCGCATTTAAACTCATGTTATTCCTATTTTGACTTTGAATCTAACACGTCGCAGCACGAGTTTAAGAAGCCCTTGCTTTAAAATTCGTTTGAGTATCTGGGGGTAGGTGTAAAACAATGAAAACCTTACTTACCACTTATTCCGAGACATTTGCTAATTTCCTCCCATGCATTGTCTTTCATTATCCGATCGCTATATGATGGCTTGGTTATGTCAAATAAACACTCATATTTTGACACGAGTATTATTAATTTTTCATCATTCATCTTTTCGTACAAGTACGCACAACTATTACGTTCAAATGTTGCTATCAAAATGGCGGTCGGCGCGGCCGCAGCGGGCACGCAATCGGAGCCGATCGGCTACGCGATAGAGAAAGAGCACGTAATCGGAGCCCATCGGCTGCGCGAGCGAGAAAGAGCACGCAATCGGAGCCGACAGGCTGCGCAAGCGAGAAAGAGCACGCAATCAGAGCCGATCGGCTCCTTTTATTACTTCACACGAAGCGCGTTCAGGCATTTTTAATGACAAAAAAGGTGCAAATGCAAAAATAAACTTTACTACAATCACTCAAAACACTGTTTCCAACGTGATAAAAATCTGCTCTCCTCTCCGAGCCGGTCTGTGTGAACGGACCCTTACGTATTAAACTGTAACGTAAAGTTCATTTGTAAAGGTCACGAAGCATATGAATGGGTTGAATGAATTTAAAAGAGACAAAACATACTGTTAGAAGGAGAGGCTTGTAATGCGACGCTGTAGCGCGAGTTGTATAGGCTGTTACAAATTTTGTTTCTTTTTTACTTAATTAGTTTGTTTGAAAAATATTTTTTTTTATTGTGGATTTTGTTTAACGTTAATATTTTTTATGATTACTGGTAAGTAGCGTTACACGTGTGTTCATTTATTGTAGCGATGGTAACGACACGATGTATATCCATAATATATATGTATTTACAGAAGAAAATTACGTTAAAGTGCGTAAAGTATGTTATTTATCAATTACCTAGTATCCATAGTGCAAGCCTTGCTTGGTTTGGGAGTAGATAACGTGTAAAAATACGCCCCGAAATATTTATTATTTAACTTAATTTAATATTAAGAATGTTAAAATGAATTGGGACTAATATTATCCGATTGTGAAATCGCATCTCTTTACACATTATTCCTATATTTAAACATAGACATATCGGCTTAAAAGCAACCATCAAAATGTTATTTACTTTACAGTGTGGCAAAACTTATATTGTTGTATCAAAGTCCAACGATGCTATTGAAAAGGTGAACTTACACTCTGCATCAAGTTTTGCGCGTTGCCAACCAGCATGTTGATCGCTTCCTTGTCTTCTTGGTTGCCTATAAGAAGATATTTAGTATATACTATGTTGATGTGTATATCTTTGAGTGGGCGTCACATTTGTAAAAAATAAACAGGTTCCTTTTTCTGGACTCCTTACTAATCCTTACTAACATTATAAACGCGAAAGTTTGTTTGTATGGATGGATGTTTGTTACTCTTTCACGCAAATACTACTGAATGGATTTAAATGAAACTTTTCAATAATATAGCTAATACATCAGAATTCGACATAGTCTATAACTCATATACATATTTTTATATATTTTATCTGTCTTTCCGACTTTACGCTTTCAACCTATTCTTCGCAGACGTAGTCGCGGGCAGCAGCTAGTATTACATATATTGCATATGTCGATCTGGAATAATGTGCCTTTTTTAGCACAAATAACGATCAACCAAGTAACCTCAACCGACCAACAGTACAACTCCCATTCAAGACTACCCAATAGGCGCTTCAAAAAAACCTTTACTTAGATTCGTTCCTCAGAAAATTATACAATGGATCAAGAAGGTTGAGTCGACACATCTGCATCGCCACGGACATTATTTACTGCACGCACTCGCGGCTACACAAAACATAAGGCGAGAAAACCTAACTTTACACTGTTAACTTCACTATTTAGTCAAGTTAAATGAGCGCTTCAAAAAAACCTTTACTTAGATTCGTTGCTCAGAAAATTATACAATGGATCAAGGCGGTTGAGTCGACACATCTGCATCAACACGGACATTATTTACTGCACGCACTCGCGGCTACACAAAACATAAGGCGAGAAAACCTAACTGTTACACTGTTAACTTCACTATTTAGTTAAGTTAAATGAGCGCTTCAAAAAAACCTTTACTTAGATTCGTTGCTCAGAAAATTATACAATGGATCAAGGCGGTTGAGTCGACACATCTGCATCAACACGGACATTATTTACTGCACGCACTCGCGGCTACACAAAACATAAGGCGAGAAAACCTAACTTTACACTGTTAACTTCACTATTTAGTCAAGTTAAATGAGCGCTTCAAAAAACCTTTACTTAGATTCGTTGCTCAGAAAATTATACAATGGATCAAGGCGGTTGAGTCGACACATCTGCATCAACACGGACATTATTTACTGCACGCACTCGCGGCTACACAAAACATAAGGCGAGAAAACCTAACTTTACACTGTTAACTTCACTATTTAGTCAAGTTAAATGAGCGCTTCAAAAAACCTTTACTTAGATTCGTTGCTCAGAAAATTATACAATGGATCAAGACGGTTGAGTCGACACATCTGCATCGCCACGGACATTATTTACTGCACGCACTCGCGGCTACACAAAACATAAGGCGAGAAAACCTAACTTTACACCGTTAACTTCACTATTTAGTCAAGTTAAATGAAACTGGTTTCATTTAACTTGACTAAATTGTGGGTGATTTTATTGCTGGAAATGGTTCGAAAGGTCGCGAATTAAAAATTCAAAATTAAAACGCGATAAAATCAGTGAACTGGTTTCATTTAATATGTTTAATATTCGCGTAAAATCAAGTAATCAATATATTTAGCCAGTATTAAATAAAAGCCATACCTTGCTGCCCAAGCGAGGAGCCCTTCACGGTGGTCAACATCTTCAGCTGACCGCTGATGGTCGGTATCCGGTCACACAGCTGCAACAGATTCTGCAACGGCAAAGCAAATTGCAGGGGTGGAACTGTTCTTATTTTTGTCTGTGGTAGGACCAAGCAACAGTCTCCTCTGTGGCACGAATGGGCAGATCCCTCCGGTAAGTACCACAACGTCAAGAGTGAAGTGGAAATGTTATACATCCGCGTTTCGTCTGGTGAGTGAGGCCGACGCATCTGCAACCGTAGGTGTTGCAAATGTTAATGGGCGGCGGTTATCACTTAGCCGTCAGCTCTTTGTGTGTTACTTGAGATCAAATTATATTCCAAACATTAGGTGTGATATGGCAAACAAGTCTTCAGAGTCTTGAAAGCAGATTTTTTTTTTTTGTTTTAATTTATTTAATCCAGTAATAAAGTACAATAACATAAATTATTCTCTGCCAAACTATGATGCATTTTGTCGGCAGCAGTTCTCGTGAAACATATTATACATAGACACATATATATATATATATAATATGTTAGAATAAAATAAAATAAATATCAATTTACTTGGTTGCGTGTGTGTGGTGTGTGTGTGATTATGTTTGTGCGTGTATGTACGTGTGTGTGTACTTGTGTGTGACACTACAGAGTTGACTAATTACGGACATAGGGATAGGTAATGTTGTTACGTGGTAATTCATTAATTAGGACCGGTGCAATCCAGCGTCGTTCCCGCTTACCATATACATTTTTTACTCTAGGAATTACAAGACTTGGCTTTCTTGTTGAGCTTGTTGCCTATACTCATTGCGGTTAATGTTTGTTTTGCATATCGGGCGGCAGAGGCTCACCGCCCTGATGCGCCGGTCTGAGCACTCCAGGGCGAGCGCCCTGGCCAGGGCGGCCACCTCGCTGGAGGCCTTCACGATGCTCTTCGAACTGGCTATCACCTCGCGCTTCTTGTCTGAACAGCAAACACGATACATGGGTTTATTTCTTTGCCTTTTACATTTTCCAACTGGAAACACTTTCCAATGTACGTAGTTCATTATAACTCCCAAATTCCTGCCATTAAACGTACTTACACGCACAGCGGTAACAAGTTTGTAAGTATATATATATAATTTTAACGTTTTCCTGCTGTCTTAGAAAAATATGATTGAGATGTCATTCGATTCGGAGTCGCGTCTAGTGACGTCCTTATTTATATTTTTTCGAGACTGCTGAAAAAAGTTGAACATAGAAGGACCTGTTTTCTATTTTGGCACCAAGTAAAGAAACAAGAAAAAAACTTATTTACAATTTGAGAGTAAAATTGGCGGCTTTATACTACAAGTGATTGCCTCTAAGCAACCTTTGAAAATACAAAATGTATAATAAAACTACATTAAAATAATATTTATTACTATCTGACCCGGCAAACGTCGGTTTGCCATATAAATAAAAAATTGCTTGGGGTGGACCACCCTTAGCATAGGAGTTCACGTTAATAAACACCGTGACACGAGAATTTTATATATTAAATTAATGGGTCAACAGTTCAAAATTGTTTTTTCACAAAACTTTTATCATGTTGTCTCGTCGTGTCTAACGAATTTAATGTTTTAAAAATGTACGCATATATAAAAATACAATTTCAGGTGTTTCATCAATAAAGCTACAATAAAGAAGCAAATATAAGGTTAATGCGTGCATTTGGTACATTTCACGCAAATATATCAATTCAAATATCTTAATTCAATATGTAATTGAGTATGTAATTTATCGGTGGTAGGGCCACGCAGCAGCCTCGGCCGTTGCACGAATGGGCAGGCCCGTCCGGGTGAGTACCACGACCTCGCAGAAGACCGGCGTCAAGTGGAAGTATGACAAATAGTTTTGCGTTTCGTCTGGTGAGTGAGGTGGCCGGAGCCCAATTTTCAAAAGGTTGTCAACGCATCTGGAACCCCCGTGTGTAGCTGATATCCATGGCCGGCGGTATTCACTTAACATCAGGTGAACCGTCTGCTCGCTTGGCAACTTTTCACTGGTGCTCGCCAGTTGGAAAATAAAAAGGACACAACTAGGATAGTACCATGGTTCATGTAGTTGGAGAGGCGTGCCATTAAAACTGCCATCCGCTTGGCAACGGCCACTATTTCGTTGTCCTTGGCAGACCACTCGCGCACGGCGGCGTGCAAGTCCAGCGCGGCGGCCTGCGAAGAGCACAGAGCTAACATTCACTACATATAAAATAAAGTCTTCCCGCTGTCCGTCTGTGCATATGTACGCTTAGACCTTTAGAACAACGCAACGGTTCTTGATGCGGTTCTTTTACTAGATAGAGTGATGCGAGAGGAAGGTTTATATGTACAGTACGTTGCATCACTACATAGTATAAAACAAAGTCGTCCCGCTGTCCGTCTGTCCGTATGTAAGCTTAGATCTTTGAAACTACCCAAGGGATCTTGATGCGGTTTTTTAATAGATAGAGTGATTCAAGAGGAAGGTTTATATGTATAATGCGTTGCAAACGCGCGAAGCCGAGGCGGGTCACTAGTAATAAATAAATATATATTTCGGGACGTATTTTAACACAACGCTATACAGTCCCATACAAAGCAAAGCCTGTGCTATTTTGTAAATACAGTAGAAAAACACTACGTTATACACACAATATTATTCCAGCAGTGGGGATCGAACCCACACCCTCTGGCAACTGCCACACTCTGGTGAAAAAAATAAACAAGAACAATAACCTTTACGACGAATTAATTACTAGGAAGAAAAAAATTGACGGTAAAGACGAAGATTCAGAATGCCCAATTCTGAATCTTCGTCTTTACCGTCTACTTACAAAAATCGGTTGGTTGGGATCATGCTCTTTCTGGAAGATGTTCTCGCCGCTAAGGGCCGACTCCACTTCGCTCGTCGTCTGCAAGATCTGCAAAAATAACACATGAGATTTCAGATTTTACCATTAACCTCTTCGCAAACTGTAAAGTCCCGCGACCCCACAGAAGACCGGCGTAAAGTGGAAGTATGAGAAACACTTTCACGTTTCGTCTGGTCTGGTGAGGTGGCCGGAGCCCAATTTTCAAAAGGTTTCCAACGCATCTGCAACCGTCGGGTGTAGCAGATGTCTATCGCCGGCGGTATTCTCTTAGCATCAGGTGAACCGTCTGCTCGTTTGGCAACTTTTCGTATAAAAAACGTTTAATCGTCCTTTAATAATTAACATGTATATTTTACGGTATTTTGGTAGTTAATGTCAGGCTGGGTTAGAATCTCAGTGTTGTGCACAATGTGTAACAAAGCTGAACGATATTTTTGTATAAAATCCGACCAAAGTAAGGTATTTTAAATTACTTGTACATTATTTTTGATTTTGGACCAATAAATATCTATTTATTATTATTATACGACGTGGCGCTACTAAAGCGACCATCATATCAACACACATACAGGGAGATTTTTTGAGAAGTGCCCAAATTTACACAGGAGGTTCGGACTCGGTGGTATAATCGTTTTTTTGAAATAAAAAACAAAGATTTTTTTTCCAAAAAAAAAAAGCCATTCTATTCTCTAAAAAACAGAACGTGTTGACAATGCGATAGTCATTCATAAATACCTAAATTTTACTGTGCACAAACTTGTGTGTTATGAAAGATCGCGCGTAAAATAAATGAGTTGCCCATAAATCACGCACTTTTTGAGATAAGTTCAAATGAATGTAATTAATTAGTTACGAGTGATTTTAAAAATATTTCTCATTTTTTATAAACTTAGAAAAGCCACCCTGTCCCTGTATAGAGGATGACTTAAAATTGTATTGTATTAAACATTTACATTCTTAAAACATCAATATTTACCGAGTTATTAAGTTTTCCAAAACAAATAATTTTAGAACAACGTTACGTATAAAAACTGTAACGTAAAGTTTATTTGTAAAGGTCACAATACATATAAATGGGTTGAATGAATTTAAATGTGAGTATAGACTACAAGATTTACTTGTAACAGAACAACGAGCCGCTCTATGATATTTTCTAGTGTATCATCCTTTCACGAACTAAACGCCGAGGACGCTCGCCTCTTTGTTACAAACCATATTGCATATTGGTGTAACATTTCGTCGAGCCACGAGTGCGGGCGATTTTAATTCTAACATTAATTGCACACCTCCAAGAGTTTGTCTTCTATTATAAATGTTCATTTGCCACCATCTTCTATTTCTATTTTTATTTTTTTCTTCTAATATAATTCATCAAGATAAACGCAGCACACGCAACTTGTAGGTTCGACATTTCAAAAAAGAATGAACGCAAGGCACAACGAAATGTTGGTAAATGCACACTCGCTGTGAGCACCCGTGTTTACCCGTAACATAACGCCGAGCATTCGCAGGAACGTTACATTACATGGAAATGCTTTGGAAACTGAGCTTTTGCGTGTATTGTGCCATTCGTAAGAACGTTACATTACACAGAAATGCTCCAGAAAATGTCGTAGTCTATACTCACCTTAAAAGAGACAAAACATACTGTTAGAAAGAGAGGCTTGTAATGCGAGGCTGTGGCAACGAATGAAAGTCTCTGAATGTATGAATCAGTCAGTTGTAGTTGTATAGAATGTTACAAATTTTGTTTTTTTTTTACTTAGTTTGTTTCAAAAATATATTTTTTTAATTATGAACTTTTTTTAACGTTTATATTTTTTTATGATTATTAGCAAGTAGCGTAAGACGTGTGTTTTGTCGTCGCGGTTGTGACGCCACGCGGTATAGGCTGTCACTTTTTTTAACATCTCGACGACCTGAATGGCGTAATGGGTAGTGTACCTGCCTCCTGCGCCAGAGGTTGTGGGTTCGAACCCCACTACTGGAAAAATGTTGTGTGATGAATATAGTGTTTTTCTAGTCTCTGGGCGTTTATATATGTATAATATGTATTTATTTACAAAATAAAAGTATGTTAAGTACGTTTGTCAGTTTTCTATTACCCATAGTACAAATTTTGCTTAGTTTGAGACTAGACAATGTTGTGTAAAAAATGTGTCTTAAAAATATTTATTATTACATTTATCTCTTTTGAATATTATTCAGTCATGCTGTCTTTCAATCTATAGATGAGTGGTCAGGGCTACCTTAATTTCTGATTTATCTATCTAAGTATATAAAAATTTCGTGTCACGATGTATGTTCGCGATAAACTCCGAAACTACTGAACCAATTTTTAACAAATTTTGCATTCATTTGTAATTTGGTCCAACTTGAGAGATAGGGTAGTTTTTATCTCAATTATTGATCTAAATATCTGTTATTGCTAATCATTTGTTCATGAGATGATAAAGAGCTATCTGTGAGTCCCATAAGATTGCAACAGATGGCGGTGCAAGATAAATTCATCGTCTGGATTGAGCGAGTATCCGATAGATGGCGCTGTGCTAAAAGTAGAAGCGTATGGAGGAGGGGGGCGGCTACCTCTGCGGCGACCTGGCGCCAGTCGCGTTGGCGCGTGCGGGAAGCGGAGTCGGCGAGGCGGCTCTGCGCGAGCGCCAGCGCCCTGCGCAGCTCGGGGTCCGCTCGCGCCTGCCGCGAGCCCAGCGCCGCCTCCACCGCGCGCCGCCCCAACCTGCTTCAAATTACGTACGCTCTTTAGGGCCCCCCACCCAAAGGGTAAAATAGCTTCCCCATTACTAAGACCCCGCAATATTACGTACCATAGCACACTTTAGGGTTCCGTACCCGAAGGGTAAAATAGGACCCCTATTACTAAGACTTCGCTGTCTGGCTGTCTGTTACTGTCTATCTGTCACCAGACTGTATCTCACGAACCGTGATAATTAGGCAGTTGAATTTTTCACAGATGATGTATTTCTGTTGCCGCCGAATACTAAAAAGAAGAATGTAAAAATATTTAAGTGGCGCTCCCGTACAACGGACATGATTTTTTTTTACAGTTTTTATAGATACTGGTACGAAACCCTTCGTGCGCGAGTCCGACTCGCACTTGGCCGGACTTTTTTAAATTTTATCTCGTACACAGAACAGCAAACAGTGTAATTATATGTAATACACAAAGTATATGTACACTACATACTGCAATATCATTAAACAATATTAAATTATACATTTTACATAAACAACACAAAGCTATTGAAAAGTATACTATAAGCATATTGACAAATTAAGCTACTACTTAATTTTAATTTTACTCTCTACATAACTTAGTGAATAAACAAAATAACCTAACTTTCCAATCATCAGTATTCAAATAAAACAAATTTGTCGCTATCATTAACCTACCTTCCCATCTCTATAAATTTATCTTTCTTTTCCCGTAATTCTAATAAACCTTAACTTAAAAACTTGTTTCGTTAATAAGGTCGCTTTTACTTTGAACGATTATTTTTAATTGAAACCACGTCTACTTCTTATGCTCATTTATTCTCGACTGACTAACTGTCGTACAAACGCTGTGCGTTATAATATGTGGACCATATTGACTTATCGGTACATCTCAATAAACAAATTCAAAACTGAACAAACTATAAAGAACAAATTCACATAAACTATAATTCTAACAATAATCAATCAAAATGTTCATTCATACGGTCAATCCTTACACACTGGTGAGCGTAAAGTGGGATTGTTTGTTTTTTTTTTTGTATAACAGATGTAACGCTTTCGGTCCTTAGACTATTGAAGCTCCATTGAGGCTTCAATAGTCCAAGGACTGAAGTGGGCAAGCATGAGGAATCTGGTAAGGACCTGGTGACGACGTCGGTGTGCGTACACTTCAGCGGGTCCTGGAGAGCGCGGGACTCCTCGTACAGGCGGTGCATTGTCTCACCTGGAACGTATCGATTAAATTTCGCTTGTGCAAATATTATATCATATTTTTCAGATTTATGAAAGGCGTCTCCATAGAGTGTTCTTTTATGCCCAATGTTTCTCGGCAAACTCGCCAACTGAGTTTGGGGCCAATGTAATATGTTTAATTTTCTATATACAACTCTGCAGCGCATATGTTTAAAGGCGCCATAGCGTGTATTTAAATTATTTATAAGAGAAACAATCCATAGAAACTAGGAAATTTAAATTTGCTGTCGTCTTTATTCCACATTGTAGATAGGGATGGCCAGTTCTATTTAATTAATTAAATAAAATGTAAATTTAATTTCTATTTCATATATTCTATCTTCCACGCCCTTATATTATTATAGAACCAGATTCCCAATTAGGCATTATTTTTCTCAACATTTTAACTAACAGCATGTAGATGAATTCCAAAAATTGAATAATAATAAGACAATCCCATTCGACGCCACTTTATGTAATTAATATCATCAAATTTTGAACATTTTCCGAAATATTTTTACACAAAATGGGTACTAGGCATCATGCATATAATGACTATTATGTCCTATAAAAAATACTATGTTAACACGCAACACACTTTCAAAATTAACAATAGTTGGGTGCAAATCACACCCGCTGACCAGACAGCCTTGCTATCTGACATTATAATAAAACTATAAATGATATAATAATAATTACCTGCCGCTTGCACGAAATCAACCGGGTCTATCGACTGGTCGCAGAGACTTTGAACTATAGACATTGTGTTCGCATACTCAGTCATCAGTGCTTTGTAATTTTCGATGATTTCCTGTGAAGTGAAAAAAAAAAATACTTAATCATCTCTCTATTCTTTTACGTAGTTTTAAGCAGATTAATCTTTTTTTCTAAATTCATTATGTTGTTTAACATGAACTTTTTATAACAAGGCGAGGTATTTATCAAATTGATCTTTTCGACAGCACCAAAAATCCAAATAATTATCATCGCATGGCCAATCTTTTGAAGTTATATGGGTTAATGACAGTGAAGCCCTATGTGAATAGGTAAACTTGTAACGGGAACTTACCTGTTTATTAGGCGATTGGATTCTCTCCTCAATGGCTTTCACTAACGACGGTGCCAGCAGTTCGACCTTTTGCAAGCGTACAATAAAAAAAATCAACAACAAATAATAGTAATATAAACATCAAATTTCTCTAGGTTTGAAGGGTGTAACGACGTCAGAGATTCCGCTATTGCAAGAATGCAGAGTTGTTTGGAGAAATGCCATGGCCTCACAGAGGACCAATCAAAATAAGCATTACAAAATCTGGTTTTCGTTTAATCTGTGAGGTGCCTCCCGTTTGAAAGTTCGGCAACCCATATGCTATCCTATGGTTATTGTAGATCTTTATGGCCTGAGGTAATTAGTTAACATCGCGTGTATGACTAATTGTCACTCTCAGTTAAAAGTTAGGTTATAAAGAGGACCCGACCCGTGTTTGTTGCCTTTACTGCTAAAATTACAAATATGATCATTATGGATAAGAAATCATTATAGATCATCATGATATGCTGATCTATAATGATTTGCAAAAGCCGTGATAGCTCAGTGTCCGGGCGCTCGCCTTTAATTCAATATACTCGAGCAACCTGAGTTCGATCCCCGGTGCCGGCACCAATGAAATTGACAATTTTAAGTGCTGAATTATCACGTGCTCAGCGGTGAAGGAAAACATCGTGAGGAAACCTGCATATTTTCGAAATAATAACAAAAAAAAATGTATTTCGAACATATGTGAAGTCCGCCAATCCGCAGTAGGGCCGCGTGGTGGACGATGCCCTGATACCCTCTGTATAGAGGAGGCCTTTGCCCAGCAGTGGGACATGTATAGGCTGATACTTTACTTTTTTACTTTACATCATGATATTTGATAAGTTATATGCTGGGCAATCAACAATTATATTATCTAAGTCAATGAGTAAGTGCAACAATGTATAGGTCCATCCGGAGAAGCACCACAAACTAGCAAGAACGGCGTGAAGTGAAAGTTTTACACTTCCGCGTTTCGTCTGGTGAGAGAGGTAACTGGAGTCCACTTTATCATACTGAAAAGTGTCAATGCATCTCCAACCCTAGGGGTGTTGCAATGTCCATGTCTTCAGTTAGCAATTTACATCGAGCGAACCACCAGCTCGCTTGCCACCTCCTCGCATAAAGGTTACCTGAGCCGTGGTCCGTATCAGGCTGAGGGCCGTGGCAGCCGTTGCAGACGTGGCAGCCAGCCGAGCCGTCCGCACGGCTCTCGCGCTCCTCTCCAGCACCCGGTGCCGCTTCGCCAAGTGCGCTTCTGCGTTCGGGGCATAATCATGTGTGGGAATGTCTGAGCGAGAGGAGGAATGTAAGAGGGAGAAAGGACGAATGGCGGAGGAAGTGAGGACGTAGCCACGTAGGCTGTAATTGTTCAAGTTTTTTACTAAAACCAGTTTAAAATATGATATTCGACATCGGGCATAGTTTTCTAATCTGAACCCAGGTAAGAAGATAGACAGAAAGAAAGAAAATAAGAAATAACATAAATTTAAACGACATAGGATATATGACAGCTGTAGAAGATATCTGAGTAGTAAGAAGCAAGGCTAGTTTCCATCTCCAGGTGTAAGCATTAATAATATTCGCGTTACTACAACGTATCTAATCATAAATAAACTATCTTGTGAATAAAACGAAATAGCTTTGCATAGTTGATCGTCCTCAAATTGTTTGGTTGAGTTCTCACCTTTGTCGTGATCGAGCATCAAATCCAAGTCGTCGATTTGGGCGTCTCCCTCCAAGAACTCCTCCACCACTCGCGCCACGAGGACGCGCCCCATCATTTTCCTCAGCTCCAGCAACCGCTCCATCAGAATCCTGGAAAGGGACACGTTGAAGTCGAACAGCGTATGGATAGTTAACGGTACTTTATCGGTGGTAGGGCCACGCAAGTGTTCGCCGTTGCACGAATGGGCAGGTCCGTCCGGGTTGGTACCAGGGCCTCACAGAAGACCGGTGTCAAGTAACTTCTACGTGCACGTCTGCGTTTCGTCTGGTGAGTGCGGTAGCCGGGGCCCACATTAAGAGGCGGCAACGCATCTGCAGCCCTATGGGTGTTGCAAATGTCCATGGGCAGGCGGTTATCACTTATCAGGTGAACCACCAGCTCGTTTGCCACTTTCTCACATTAAAAAAAAAATGGATAGGATACTAACAGCGTAGTGTGCTTTCATGTGTTTAGTGTTTTTTTTTTTTTTTGTGTAAGTTTGATACTGCCTTTGTACAATAATGCTAAATGTTCATTGAAATAAGTAATATTTAATTCCATTAAAATATCTCAAAGCATAATAGTTACTTTTAAAGAATTATCTTATTACACTCAGAAAGGTCTTTGCAAGTGTTTGTTTGATGTATAAATCAAAATGTCTATCTTTTTTCTATCGCACATAGAAACCGAAACAATAAATCTTTTAAAGTTTTGTGCTATTTTTGAAAACCTATATATACTTTTGATAAAATGTTTTAATTCATAACTTTGATAATAATTTTAGTAACAAAAATCAAAACCATCTTCAAATATCTCACTCACTATGCAATTTCAGACACGATTTTGAGGAATTCCCTGTATCTTCGAAATACAATATATAATGCCAAATAATTAAAGTGGGACCCCCCTTTGAAAATATCTCCTTTCTAATACAAAGAGTTGTCCACACTGGTTTACAAATAACGGAGTCAACTTAATTGACTACCTCCGTTTTTCGAAGTCGGTTAAGAATATTTTACGAGAACAGACTTTTCATCTAAAGACATATTTTTGAATAGTCTCAGTTTTTTTCTAGGTATTGAATATTTATAGTGATTAATAAGTGATTTTATCATTTCGAGGAACCAGATTTATTACGTCACTCACCTTGATTTTTCTTTGTTACATTTCGAAGAAACTTCTTCTGAGAGCTTTTCCACTTCTTCAATGACTTGCCGCATTTCTTCGTTATCCAAATCTTTCAAGTCTTCCACCGTCTGAGATCATAAAACAAAACTTTGTAGAATATCAATAATTTTCATGGCTTAAAATGACACTTTTTTGCAACTTAACCAGCGGTTTACTCAAAAAGTGCTTTAGTCTTCTTCTACCTAGCATTTATCCCAGCAATTGCCAGGGTCTGCTTTCCTACTTAAACTCCTCCACTTTGCCCGATCTTCGACATCCTCATGGGTCAGTCCATTGGTTCTCATGTCCTGCTTCACAACGTCCAGCCATCGCTTCCTTGGGCGGCCAGGTCTAGCTCCCGGGACAGGCATATCAAGGCATATCCTTCCGACATATTTTTCCGACCGGCGTGCGACATGGCCATACCATCTCAGGCGCCGCTCTTGGAGCTTATCTGCTACGTCACGGACCCCGAGACTGCCTCGGATGAATGTGTTATATATGCGGTCAGCCCGCGTGACGCCACACATCTACCTTAGCATCTTCATCTCCGTGACGTGAAGCTCTCGAGTGTGCCGAGACAGAGCTGGCCAGCACTCGCTGCCATACAGAAGTACCGGTCGGATGATGCTCTTGTCCACCTGTCCCTTGAGCTTGGGCGGTATCCTGCGGTCGCAGACCACACCTGTGACCTCTCGCCACTTAGCCCAAGCAGCGCGTATCCGGGCTTGGACATCATGGTCGATGCTTCCGGACTCGTGCAAAACAGATCCAAGGTACCTGAACGATTCCGACTTAACGGCTGGTTCAGAACCTATTTGGATCGTTCTAGAGTCCGGACTCCCACAAGCCATGTACTCGGTCTTCACCACATTGAGTTTTAGACCGCCGTTCTCAAGCGTACCCTTCCAGAGGTTTACTTTTTGCTCCAGTTCCAACCGGCTCTCGTCAACGAGTGCTGGCTGGAGTGGTGGCTGGTCCTGTATCTGAGCCGAGATCACATCTAAGACTACGTTGAACAAGAACGGACTAAGAGCCGAGCCTTGGTGTACCCCTACAGTTATCTGGAAGGGCTTGGTGTCGCCAACAGCAGTCCTAACCATGGACGCGGAATCGTGGTACATTTCTCTGATAATGTCGACATAGGCCTCAGGGACGCCTTTCGATCGCAATGCCCACCAGATACATTGACGAGGCACACAGTCAAAGGCCTTCTGCAGCTCCAGAAATGCTAGATGCAGAGCTCTCCTTTTCTCCCTGTACGCCTCCATCAAAGTTCTGAGAGCAAAAATGGGATCCATGGTGCCAGATCCTGATCGAAACCCATATTGACATTCAGAGACAGTACACTCTCGGCGAAGCATGATATCGATAATGCGTTCGAAGAGCTTCATGGTGTGGCACATGATCTTGATCCCCCTGTAACTACCGCAATCTTGAACACTGCCCTTCCCTTTATAAATAGGGGTGATATAACTGAGACGCCACTGATTGGGCATCTTTCCAGTATTCAAGATGCGGTTGAAGAGATCAGTGAGCACGTCCACACCAAGAGAGCCCAACGATTTCCACGCTTCGATCGGTATCTCGTCAGGCCCCACCGCTTTCCGGTTCTTCATGCGGTTTTAAAAAGTGCTTTAGTATTAGTATAAATATAGCCGGAAGTGATAAATAATATAACTCGTACCTCTTTAGCAACCTTGACCACGTTCTTAATGCCTTCAATACCACTCGACTTGGCGGCCTCGGAGAACGTTGGCGATTTCAGCCACTTCGTAGCCAGATCCATTCTGAGACACAAAATATTACCACTCTAAAGTCTTAATAACTAAAGTCCTAATTGTAAATGATTACTTATTACAATAGAGGTCCAAGATCTGCGGTTGCATCTTTATTAATTTCTTTTATAAACGTGTTTATAAATCGTACGTGTTGTTTATAATTGTATCGTGTTATGTCTTGTGATTTAAATATGTTTATCAACTGAATGTATAGTACAAAAATTTATATAATTCAGGGGACCGGTTTTAGTGTGAGAGTAAGAAATTGCGACTTTGGCTGTGGAAAGAAAACTTACTGAGTTGCAATGTAGCTCTTGTTTCGAATTTCTTGTTCCTGCAACAGAGATTTACAATGTAAGTATACATGTTTGGGGGGATATAAAATTTTTAAATAGGCAATCAAACGTATAATAACTGTGGTAGGGCCACGCAGCAGCCTCGGCCGTTGCACGAATGGGCAGGCTCGTCCGGGTGAGTACCACGACCTCGCAGAAGACCGGCGTCAAGTGGAAGTAGACTTTCGCGTTTCGTCCGGTGAGCGAGGTGGCCGGAGCAAAATATCCAAAAAGGTTATCAACGCATCTGCGTACCCTCGGATGTAGCAGATGTCCATGGGCGGCTTTTCACATTAAAAAACCCATTGTGCGCGAGTCCCGGGCAATCGGTGGATGCAAATTTGGAGGCAGTGTCGTTTTTTGTGGCGTTATAGGGGGGAGGCCTATGTTCAACGGTGACTTGAAAAGCGCTGACTTCCAGAGCTAACTTTGTGTACAGAATTATGTCCCTTGAAATTCGATTAAAATAAATCAACCGAAATATAAATCCACGAACTAATTTTAAACAAAACCACTCACCTCTTCTTCAATTTGCGATGATTCAAGCAAGCCAGCGAGGCGGCCGTGCTCCCTGCGAACAGAAATTAATAAATTACTTGAAAAAAATCTACTGAAAACGGTTTTGTAAGCACGATTTAACATAAATCGGAAATGTCTCTTCACATAGAAATGTCACATAGAAAAAATCGGGACGAAATATATTTCGTGCATCGACATTACGTCCCCGAAGTGTGTGTAAAATAATGAGAGCAAAAGTAACATATACATCCGTATATATACAAGTCATTTGACTTCAGCTGTCATTTAATGCCACATACTAGTTTAGTGAGAAAATTAAGCGATAGTAAAGTTTTTTTTTTTTCTTTTATTTTTTTTTAGTAACATTGACCTTACTTTGGGATAACATTTTCCTGTGTTGTAAGAACATCACGTGGACAAACACCGAGATCGGAAATTATCTGTAGGTCACACAAATGGTCGTCCTCTATGAGAGTCGAATCCACGCCCCCCGACGCTGAAGCCGATACGTTGGAAACTGCGCCACGGAGTGTTAAGCAAAATATCATTGGCCAGTTTAAACTTACGTGACATTAGATAATAACGTATCGAAAGCTTGGACAACACTAGCTTTAGACGCGTCGAATGTGGCACGCGAGGCAGCTCCCTTCTCAATTGTCTTCCTTCCATCGATTAGTTCGGCCGTTTTACTCAGAAGCTCTCTGCAAAGGGACAATTTTACAACTTAGTCACGAAATGTTATTCACTAGCTGCTACCAGCGACTACGTCTGCGTAGGATAAGGCTGAAGGCGTAACATTCAGACAGATATACATAAAAATATGTACATAAATTATACCACATGTGTTATTCTGATGTATAAGCTATATTATTGTAAAGTTTCATTAGAATCCGTTCAGTAGTATTTGCGTGAAAGAGTAACAAACATCCAACCATAGATACAAACTTTCGCCTTTATAATATTAGTAAGGATATAATGTTGAGTTAAATTAAAGAAATAGTTATTAATAATCTCATTAGGATCTTAGTCAGCGAGTTATGGAGCGGGCTATGCTCTGCATTTCTCTGCGCGAAGATATTCACAAAAAACACACAGTAAAACAAAAGTAACCGACATAGCTCAGAGAATTGAATTGAATCAATGGGGAAGAAAGGTTCTCAAGTCTCGTACTGGCCATCTCAGTGTGGGAAGACCCCCCACTAAATGGAGTGACGACTTAAGCAAGTCGAAGTCGATGGAAGCGGGTGGCTCAGAATAGAGCATCATGGCGGTCTGTTAGGAAGGCCTGCATATCAGTAATGGATTCAAACAGGCTTAAATGACGATGATGATGAATCTAGTTGACTTTTTTAAGTATGTTTTAAGACTATTATAATATATAATACAAGTGTTCAAACATTCTAAAAAATTAAAGTGATATTCAATGATGTCGATAAGAGTCTTACAGATATTTGGCGTAAATTTTATACTGCGATTTTATAACGGCGAGCGGTGGGCTTATCATGATGTAAATGTGTGCCTACTTCCTATTCATCACTTTCGATATGCGTGGCGTAGAGTTATTTCACTACACTTACGTCCGGTTTCTGAAACACTGATCATCGTAGATGTTAACTAATTAGATGTCAAATGGCTTTTCAGATTTTATTTGAGTTGCCGAATGGATGGTTAAACTCTTTAAATGTTATCATTTTGATAATTGGGAAAATCATTGTGTTTATGACAGCGTGAGAGCGTTTCGGAAACCGGGCGTTAGCATATTTTAATATATAGTCTTCTTCAATAGACAGCGATTCATTCGAAAGCTCACCTGGCATTGCTGATCAGCAGGTCGCAGGCGGCTATCGTGTCAGGAGCCGGTTGCGCAGCGGTCGGCGTCAGCTCCGGCCGGAGACATTGCGCCTTCAAAGCCGCCGCGGCGTCCGAAAGCCTCAGCGCGTACGTACTTGTTCTCGTCTGCAATCGCAATTATTACATAGTCACTGGTGGTACAAAATACTGGGATTTGAGTAGGAAATTGTCGGTGACTTACCCGATAGGTAAGGTTTCTTAGACTTGGTGTGCGGGATCCTGAAGGTACGCCTCCTTGATACAGTTTTTGGGATTTGATATTCAGTATAGACGGAAAAAGAAATACGGTTCCAGCTCGACAAACGGTTTAATGCAAAGTGACATTAAATTATAACAAAAGAAAACAAAAAGAGTAAGCAGAAACTACCAGATGGACGTTGCTATTAAAATTTTAGCAGGCGTTCCGAACACTTGGCTTGCTTCCTTTACTTATTATTCACAAATCCTCTCTCGGTTCTGCAGTCGTGTATATCTCACTTTTATTTGTTTTATATGCGATTAAAAAGTATGATTTAAGATGCGGCACCAAAGGGACACGGAAGTAGAATGGCCGACCGTTCGCCTCACGGTCAAATCTTCCAATTGTCTCTTTTCACAGACTTAAGGTTAGGGAGTGGGAAAAGGATAGTAAGAAAAGTACATACATATATATATAATGCGTGTAAATGTGTTGCTGTGATCGGATATTATTGAAAAATGTACACTATGCCGATGCGCTAGCTTTAACAGTTACAATACACAAGTTATAGGGTCATTGCCAAAATCCTCTCAACGATCCTTGCATTGTTCCATCCGGAACATCTATATGTGGCAGGTAATGGCAGCCCACTCTCTAAAGGTTAGCAACACACGAGCAGCCTGTTGTAGATGCCTTTGGCTCAACCGTAGAAGGAACACGAAACAATCCTCGCCGTTGCACGAATGGGCAGAAGTACCACAACCTCACAGAAGAGCAGCGTGATGTGGAAGTGTGATATTTCTGCGTTTCATCTGGAGAGTTGGCCGGGGTCCAACTGTATTAAAAGGTAGCAACGCATATGCAACCCTACGGGTGTTGCAAATGTCAATAGACGGTGGTCATCGCTTAACATTTGATGAGTCCGTGGCGCTGATGCCAAGCTATCGGCTTCAGCGGCGAGGGTCGTGGGTTCGATTCCCATACGGGACAACTGTTTGTGCGATCCACCGATAGTTGTTTCGCGTGTGGGTGTTTGTCCACGTGAAATGTATGTTTGTAAAACGTACTTACGACACAGGATAATGTTATCCTAATGTAAGGGCAATGTTGATTAAAAAAAAACAGAAAAAAGAAACAAAAGAAAGAACATCATGTGAGCCGCCAGCTCACTTGCTACTTTCTTAGATAAAAAAAAGCAATCTTTTGATAAAACTTACAGCGTCGGAATTAGGAATGTGCACAGATTCCCTGTATTCACTCATTGCGGTGTCAACTTCATCGGCCACTTCCAGTAATTCCCTCTCAACGTCCAAGTCAATCTTCCCTTTGGATTCGGCAACAGCGTCTTGAATCTGGCGAGCCTTCTCGGATAACTCCGCTTCGATGTCCTTGGCCTGCATGAAAAAATAGCCAAGCTGGATTCATTTAAAGTAAATTTGTGACAATGTGACTGATAGAACCAAAAATTTTGCGTGATAGTTATAGGACGGGCAAGAAGTCTAGATAATGTTCAGTTCTATCCAATCTTATGGATTAGTTAGAAAAATAATCAGAGGAAATTGTACCAAATAGAAAGACAGATTTGAATGCGAGTCAATGGTGTCACATGATTGAACACAAATGATAAGCGACTTCAACTGATAGAAAATCTGATGGAAAAGCAATCTGGACAAAAGTATGGCAATATGTAAGTTGATGTATAAAATAAATAAATAAATAAATAGATAAATAGATAAATAGATAACTAGATAAATAAATATATAAATAAATAAACAAATAAATAAATATCCCAACCGCAATATGTGTGTTCAACTGTGTTATTCAATTCATTCCGAACGATATCCACAAAGCGGCGTAAAACATTATTTATAATGTTACTGTTTAAAATATAATTACCTGATTCATATCTCCAGAACAAATGACTCTCACACAGTTGTCTTGAATCGACTCGATCGCTTTAATAATTGCAGACACGTCCAGAAGGCCGCCTTTGGCTGTTTCCTTATACTTATCGGATATTGATATCTGTACAAATAAAAAGGCGCTTTAGAGAAATCATTAACTATTGTTTCATTACAAGCATATTTGAAAATGTTATTTGTAAGGTGTTGTTTGATGTAAAGGCTGCACACTATATGCGCCAAACATTGCTAAAAATGCAATAAGAAGAACGCAGATAAAATTTGTAGAAAAAAAGGACTAAAATTTAATGTTTCATCTTAAGTGCATACGTTAGCACTTTAAAAAAATACAAATTTCATATAATAAAGGCGACATCTTCGAATGATCGTTGTAAAAGGATATTTTAAAAGTGGTTGTATGCGGTAAAGGATATAAACAATAGATGCGCCAAGGATTGCTGGAAATGCGAAAATATAATGCAGATAAAAGACTTTTAGATTTTCATTGGTGTGGCAATTAGTTTGGCTTAATGGTGAAGCTTTCCGAGAAGACGTGGGTTCGATTCCTGCATCGGTTTTCGTCCTTTTTGCTGCACATTTAATTATTTTTTTTTTATAATAATTTTTTTTAATTTTCCTTAGATCAATAAGTGTCGAAAAGCCACTCACAAGATAGGCACAATGCATTGCGCAGTCCGCGGCCTGGGAAGCGGCGGACGGAAGTTGTTTCAGACTAACGCTCCTCCCCACATCGTCCCAAATATTAGCTATGGAAAAGCGAAATAAGGAATCTAACAAACATTCCGAATGATGATATTTTATTAAGTGCCCACGACTTTGTCTGCAAGGAATTATATTATATACAGCGTGTCGTTACCATCGCGGCAATAAATAAACACACATATAAGGGATAACTTTTTAAAGTTGTATTAAACAAAAAAAACTCTAAATTCTTTAAACATCAATATTTACAGAGTTATTAAATTTTCCAAAACAAAGAATTTTAGAACACCCTTACCTATAAAAGCGTAACGTAAAGTTCATTTGTAAAGGTCACAAAGCATATGAATGGGTTGAATGAATTTAAAAGAGACAAAACATACTGTTAGAAGGAGAGGCTTGTAATGCGACGCTGGGTCGCGAGTTGTATAGGATGTTACAAATTTTGTTTCTTTTTTACTTAATTAGTTTGTTTGAAAAATATTTTTTTTTAATTATGGATTTTGTTTAACGTTAATATTTTTTATGATTATTGGCAAGTAGCGTTAGGCGTGTGTTCATTTATTGTCGCGATGGTAACGACACGCTGTATACTAATAAAAATGAATAAAATTTCTAGGATAATGGTAAAGCCTAAGTTACTCCTTATTACATCAGCTATCTGCCAGTGAAAGGCTTCACAAAAGACCCTCGCGAATTGGAAATATTACACTTTCGCATTCCGTCTGATGAGAGAGGTCACGGGGCCCATACTTTGAAGGTTGTCAACGCATCAGCAAGCCATTGGGTGTTGCAGATGTCCATGGGCGGTGGTATTAATTTAACATCAGATGATCCGCCTACTCACTTGACAACTATGCACATAAAAAACTTACATTTTGAAAAAAGTTGACTTTCACTTAAACAAACATGTCTTACTTATAACGTCAGCCTGACTCTGCAAAGTGTCCAAGCATTCTGCATAGCTTAGAGAGCACGTCGGATGCAGGGTCTGCAACAAGTTTTGCTGCAGACGCAAATTGCCGATCGATTCGTCACCGCTATAGGCGGAATCTGCAGCCCGGCTCTGGAAATAAAACATTGTTATTAATGCCATTTTATTGTTTGTTAAAAAATTATAAACTAAGGAATGAAGTAACATCCCATATTGGTGTGAAGGCTCGGTTGGGGCAGTTGTTAAAACTGCCCCAACTCGTTATACATACGCTCCTGCAAAACGTACTTTCGATATCCGCCAGGAACATATCTATCTATCTGATCTACCGGATCTGAGCATTAACTTATTTAATATCTTTCATATATTCTACCACAGTTAAAACTTATTTTCACATAAAAATCCTGTCAAATATTTTATTAAATTGTTCGCAGTATCCGCGTAATACAAGAAAATTTTACGCTCAACAAAATCTGAATGTGAACTGTTAAAACACTCACCAGATTATTAATGGCATCGTTCAGAGAGCGGATGGCGTCGAGAAGTTTTCGTCGCTTAAGCATTGAATTAGGCTCCTGTTGACATTTTCAATATATTAGATTTCTTAATAAAATATGAGGATTTTCGCAATGATTTACTACCACCAGATCCTAAGTAACTGGTATGATGGCATACTCTGTTTGATTACCAGGCAAAACGAGAATAAAAAGGCATAAATATGGAGGAAACCCAAAAATATACGTTTTCTGTTGAGTCGGATCATATTGTCTTTTTCCCCTAAAACATATCTTATTAAAGAGGTCATTAAAGGTCACAATCATCATACCACCAACGTCAGCTGCGAGGATTAACTAACCAGTTAACTCTCTAATAATATTTAATTTAATATCAGATATGACGATTTAATAAACTTGGGTCTCATGATGTTTTTGGGCTGTGTAAATTTTTGAAACAGTCTTAATAAGAAATTCCAATTTCACTCTTTAGCTTCGAAATACAGACCAAATTGATAAAATAATTCTTGCCGTACTCACTTTACTCAATTGGTCCGCGTCCTTTAACAGTTTCACTGTGGCAAAACGCATGTGCCTTGCAGACTCCTCTATTCTAACACTCTGCATGTGCTCCTGTGGAAGTTTGTATGTTATTATTAAAATGTTAACGAACCATGCACAGCAAATAGTGAATACTAACAAACTGTTGGAAATATCCACAATGAAAAAATCTGTCTTGTAAATTTTTTTTCTGCAAAACTTGCCATATACTCTGCAAACTGTACTCTGAATTACATGGAATGAATACAGACTGCAGAGTCAGATGGAGGTTATAAGTAAGATAATTATGTGTGTTTACCAATTGAAAGTTAAAATGATATAAAACAATATTGTATATTATAATAATAATTTTGGTAAACATCAGGTTTCAACTATTTGCCAAAGTTGTTCATTTATCATTATGATTGAATAGACTAATAATGTAATGCAAAAGAAAACTTCTTATTCAACGAGATAATTGTTTATTGGAAACACACGGTAAATTAGGGTTCATTGAAAATCTAGTATTGTACTATAATATATACCTACTACGGAAAGATAAATAGCGAAACAATCTGAATAAAGTTCATGGTAAGTATCACAATGACCTAAGACACTAAACTATATCCTTATTGTGCAGTAGATATAATGCGTGGGTATTTAAAGAAAATCCGTGATAGCTCAGTGTCCGGGCGCTCGCCTTCAATGCAATATACTCGAGCAACCTGAGTTCGATGCCCGGTGCCGGTGCTCTGACTCATAAAATCGAACTAATAACTCGAAATAATCACAAAAAAAATATTTCGAAGATATGCGAAGTCCGCCAATCAGCGGAGAGGCCGCGTGGTCAACTATGCCCTAATATCCTCAGCACAGAGGCCTTTGCCCAGCAGTGGGACATGTACAGGCTGTAACTCTAACTTTAAAAGAAACAGAAAGTGCCTTACCTCAGTATTTCCCAATGCTCGCGCTATATTATCCAACTCGATAGCAACGTCTGCGGTTGCGTGGATACTCGTGCAAAGCTTTTCCGGTTTGTCAACATTAGACGCTATGCCTCCAATAATAGAGTCGAATTTGCCTTTAGCCTGGTGATATCTCTTGGTGAGTTCACTGGAATGTTAAAAGATTATTTTCTCATTTCACAAAGCACTGCAATAATGCCCTTGTGGCCAATTTATGAAGGTTCTTATTCATCAGTAGTGATATTATGAATGAATGAATAATATTATTCATTCATTCATTCATTCATTCATTCATTCCTGGTGCTTTAGATATTTTTTTAAGAATTTTTATACGGAATTCATTAAAAAAATTGGATTACAGGATGGAATAGCCTTGTTGTAATCAAAAAGGCGATCCTATCCTCTGATGGACTATGTGTTCTTTCGTCTCAATGCCTTCAGCATAGACGTCTTAATCGATTTGTAAATCTCAATCTCCAACCATACTATTATTACAGAACAAAGTAAAAGCTAGTTTTCTTCTTATTTTGAATTTAATACAAACCTTTTATTATTTCCTATAAGCCCAACCTTTGGCGGGAAAAGGAGTCGTCTAACGTATCCGTTATCTATAGCTTTGCCCTCTTGCTTTTCTTCACTGCTATCTGATTGATTTGAAGTCTTCCAGCTCCTATGCATTAACGAAAAGTTTGAGCGCATTAATAAAGTCGTAAAAACAATTAATAAATCCAGCTAAATAAAAGAAAAACTATTAATTTAAAAGTCCTATATATCTGCGACTAAAACTTTATTATACTGTCACAATTTTTTTTTTATTTTTGTATACACGACTGCGTGTTATAAGATAAAAACTAACATCTACCACATTAAAATTCATCTGCCGAAAAGGAAAGTTTAATTTCTACTTCATTCAATTTTAATATCAAATCAATTCGGGTACCATTATCAGTGAATTATATGTTATGATTGTTCAAAACCATTCTGTCTTAAATTGAATGAAATCAACCAGCAGTAACTACATGATAACTTACTTGAACAATTTGCTCGCCAATAGCAATCGCTTCGTTACTATTGCCGTCCCGCCAGATAGCAGTGCATCTGCTCGTGTTTATCACCAGCGTTTTTAAAAGTAGCATTACCCTTCTGAGATGTTCTTCTAGACTGAAACAGAAAAACAATGTCCGTGTTCATTTATTGTCGCGGTATGTTAATATAGTATTTTTAGATAGTTTATATCAAAGCAGGCATTGCGTAGTCTTTTAGAAAGATAAAAGAATCGAACATGATTATGGCTTTTAACGAACCAGTAACAGCTCACGAAGTCATGTTTAACACAAAAACAGTACAGGGTAAATAATATGCGGGCCTTCGTAGATTACTGCGTAAGCACGCGAACCTACACTTGATTTGATTCAAATTTTTACGTAAAACGGGACAGCTCTGGTCGCTTGAATTATATGATTCTTATATTAAAGCCCGGTTTCTGAAACACCGATCATCGGGATCCCTTTGACATCTGGCTATTTGACTTGTACGATGATCAGTTTTGCACCCTCCAACCACATCCATAATCACTCTTCCGGTCACGTGACTTTCACCCCTTCTCTTAATGTGCCCATAACCATTATTACACAACACGTGACAGTTGAACATAATCGTCAGCTGTTCGGTAATTCGTACATACATTCGCTTGTGGCGCGGATCGTTTAGGTCCGCACACGCTCGCTGTTCAGTGACGTAGCCAGCCAGTGCCGGCGCGACGTCCTGCGCCCGCCGAAGCGAGGACGCGGAGAGCCGCAGGCGCTGCGCAGCGGGGCTCCTCTCCTGCGAACGAGGACGAACATGTCTAATGCCTGGTTCCTATATTCAACGAACGGCCGTTGGTTACGTGGTTTCGTAACTTTCACGACGACTTGTGTTCAGGATAAGAACAAGGATGTTAGGTGTTAACTTAATATAATTTCAACTGAAAAATAATCAGCTTTGTATTTGAATGCGAGTCCGTTACGGTTGGAAGTCAGTGCGAATGTACACATTTTGAATGTGAGTCGTTAACCGTTTATATGCTAATATGTTTAAAATCTAACGGTCTTCCAACGCGAGTGTTACAAGTATAAAGGCAGTCTATAGTTTACACGTTAATTTATACATATTAATAATTTTTAAACTTATTTATAATTTGAACTTGTCCGTAGCGCAGACAACTTGTAAATTAAAGGAACGCTAGTAACTCACTTTCAGGTAATGCAACGGCCCGTAAGGAAAACGCCCCGTTTTGTTAATATAGGAACCGGGCGTGCACGCCTTTTTTTTTCTACAAGTACTTAAACATTTCGTATGATAATGTTATACTACCTTAATGTGCTGAGGTTGTTTCACGCCCGGAATGGGTTTCAACAAATCTCCCAATCTTTTCTCCATCTCGGTGAGGTCGGCCAGAGTCTCGTCTAAAGCCGCACTATTGGCGGTCGCCAGAGCACTCTTTGCAGCAAACCTGCGATTGATATCGCATTTTAACTTTATTATTTTTCCCACTTCTTTCTTACTTTATTGTTTATCAACAATTCATGGGTGAAATAAGATGCGAATCATACTTGAAATGTGACTGTTATTGATTTGTTTTCGTCGAATTTTGAGAAATTTGTTGCAAGGAGAAACCAGAATAGACACAAGTCATTGTAAAAGAAGCTCATGCTTATTTGTCAAAGATAATTTAGAATGTCACCTTCGGTCTGCGGTTGTGACACTTGAATTTTTTTCTCTTGTTTTTAAAATAATTATAACTCAAAGTTTTTAATACATTCCAAACTCTCTAAAATCCTCTAAATCTTAAGTTGTGAGGGAAGAAATCTGCAACATTTTGAAAAATATAGCACCTATTGATCAATTTGGATTATAACATTAATTTAAATTGTGGATAATAACAGCAACTACAATTTAGAACTTTTCAATGGTTTTCTATTTCATGGTTTTATATAAGAAGAAAAAATAAAGAGCATATTTAAATACTGACCTCAACAAATTCACGCTGTCCGTCAACCTTTGCGCCTTAAGTTGTAATTCGCGCCTGGACATAACATCGGGTAAACTTCTCGCCGCTGAATCGACGAGCGATACAGCTTTGTGGCAATCCTGTAGAATTATTCAAGAATACAAATATATTTCTTAAAACAGTAGATACGCCATTGATCTCGTACTTCACATCTATATACAGCGTGTCGTTACCATCGCGACAATAAACGAACACACGTCTAACGCTACTTGCCAATAGTCATAAAAAAATATTAACGTTAAACAAAATCCATAATTAAAAAAAAATATTTTTCAAACAAACTAATTAAGTAAAAAAGAAACAAAATTTGTAACATCCTATACAACTCGCGACCCAGCGTCGCATTACAAGCCTCTCCTTCTAACAGTATGTTTTGTCTCTTTTAAATTCATTCAACCCATTCATATGCTTTGTGACCTTTACAAATGAACGTTACGTTACGCTTTTATAGGTAAGGGTGTTCTAAAATTGTGTTTTGTAAAATTTAATAACTCGGTAAATATTGATGTTTGAAGAATATAAATGTTTAATACAACTTTAAAAAGTTATCCTCTATATGTGTGTTCATTTATTGTCGCGGTCGGGTAACGACACGCTGTATGTTAATATAGTATTTTTAGGTAGTTTACATCAAAGCAGGCATTGCGTAGTATTTTAGAAAGATAAAAGAATCGAACATGATTATGGCTTTATACGAACCGGTAACAGCTCACGAAGTCATGTTTAACACAAAAACAGTACAGGGTAATGAATTCTAATGGCATGCATTAAACCTTGACTTGAATGGTCACCTCAAATCTGAAGAATTATTATTTGTCTTTTTATTTTGAAAAAAAAAACGTAGGCCTTACTTTAGGATAACATTATCCTGTGTTGTAAGGACGTTTTACATATAGACAAGTTTCACGCGGACAAACACCCAGATGCTAAACAACTATCCGTGGGTCACACAAATAGTTGTCCCGTGTGGGGATCGAACCCACGACCGAGTATCCTTAAAAGGTTGTCAGCCTTACGGTTAATCATGACCGTTAAATAGCTAACACTAAAGGTTCCTAAGACCTGTCACGACAAAAGCTAGTGAATACGAACGGTGTTACCTGAGCAAATGTCTCGATACGAAACAAATCTTCGTTGAGGGTCGCCTCCTCCGCGGCCGGTTCCGTCAGCTTCATTGCGCCGGCGGACATTTTATTGCACTCCACCTTGATGCTCTAAATGTGACGTAACATTATTAACGAAAAACAATACCGACTTCAAATATCTCGCTCTGTATTCATTGTATGATTGATTTTCAGAAGTTCCCTATTATTAGTTCCCAGTATTTCCGGAGCCCAAGGTCCAATACCAATTAGTATGGGACCACATGGGAAGCGCCCGCTTTCAAATAAAAAAATAATCATCAAAATCTTTCAAATTATTCTTGCATCTTTTGCTGCACCTACCATAAACTCTCACCACATCCTGGGTTGACTGGTAGAGAATGCCTTTGGGCATTAAGTCCGCCCTTTGTTACCTTGTTTTACTGAAGGTTGGCAATAAAGTTTAAAAAAAAAAAAAAAAAAAAAACTTCACTCATTCGAAAGTTCTGTAACAAACATAAAAAAAATACAGTCGAATTGAGAGCCTCCTTCTTTTTTGAAGTCGATACGAAAAGGTGTTTACGGCGACAGGTTGACGTCCATGTTACCCCACACGTGATAGAAGTTGTCACATGCGAGACTAAATTGACCACTTAAAAAAAATTTAAATTTCTAGAAAAAAAAAAGGACGGAAAGATTTTCGCCGCTGCGGTTTAGCTTGATAAGCCAAGTATTACTAAATGAAACTATGTTTAATTATTTATCACGTTTATTTTTAATTTTAATTCCCGACAATTCGAACCCTTTATCCTTCGAAACGTTGGGAATTAAAAATAAACGAGATTAATTCATAAATAGTTACATTTAGTAACGTGTAATCGCATAAATACAAGAAATAATTAAACCAAGTTTTCTTTTAAGTGTGTTCATTTACATTATAACTCATAATCACAATTATGTTAAAGTGGATGAGCGTTACCTGAATTTGCACTCCGGCGTGTTGGCGGCTGTAATCATCCGCCGATTTCGAAACAGCTGCAACGTTCGAGATCACGTCTTTGACGAAATCCTTGAAAAGACAAAAAAAAACACAAACCAGTTACATTTTGATCTCACAATTAAAGGTTTCTAGACTGCCTCGACAGAATGTTACCTTTTTTTAAATAGCTAGCTTAATTTTTATTAACGTCTTGATTAGTAACATAAAAAATATGGTTTGGATAGTATTTTTATCACTACATAGTATAAAACAAACTCGTCCCGCTGTCTGTTTCTTACATGTATGCTTAGATCTTTAAAACTACGCAACGGATCTTGATGCGGTTTTTTTTACTAAATAGTGATTACGAAGGTTTATACGTATAATTCATAACACCCGTGCGAAGCCGGAACGGGCCGCTAGTTAAAAATTAAGACATTTTTGAAAGGTAATATAAAGTCCACAAGTGGTTATTGCACGCATGTAAGTTCGACTGTGGAAGAGGGTGAAGTTAAGTATTGTTTTTTATGGGGGTTTGTGTATGTATTGTCCATTACCATCAGATCAACGACGTTAGACTGGTCACCACGACGATGCAGCAACGTATGCTGGAGGTCCTGAGTAGCGTTTTCGAGTCTACGCAGAGTGTTCACGTCCTAAAAAGGTTTTGGTTCGTTAAAAAATTTCTAATATTATGTATGTGATGAAGTGTCTAACGAGCCGGCGGTTTGCCCGGTGTTAAGTGATAACTTTTTCAACTGTAATTTCAACTGTGGCAGGGCCACTGATTTAAGTAAATTGTCAATAGATGACACACTCATACATTAAATTGTAAGATTGTTTCGTGAAACTTTTACTTTATTCTACTCACAAAATTTTCGTCAATGACAACAAAAATGTGATTTAAAGTGGTGAATCATTACATTTGATAAATAAACATGGAAGCTATGGCGTACCGAGAAAAGAACACCTTTAAGAAATAACATATATGATAGTATGAACTGATAGTTGAGTTTGACGTCTTAAGCCTATCTTAATAATATCGTTCACTAGCTGCTGGCCGCGACAACGTCTGCGTAGAATAGGCTAAAGGCGTCACATTCAGACAAAAAGACAGATATACATAAAAATATGTATATAAATCACAGCCTATGTGTTGTTCTGATGTATAATCTATATTATTGTAAAGCTTCATTAAAATCCATTCAGTACTACTGAATTTCATTACCTTCAAAAAGTGAGCGTACTCTTACTTAAAAGGCCGGCAACGCATTTGTGAGCCCTCGGGCGTTGCAGGTGTTCATGGGCGGCGGTGATCACTTACCATCGGGTGAGCCCCCTGCTCGTTTGCCCCTTTCTCCATAAAAAAAAATGTATTTGCGTGAAAAAGTAACAAACATTCATCCATACAATTTTTCGCGTTTACAATATTAGTATGGAGGTATGGATTGAATTTTCAATTATTTTAATTTATCTAATATTCACTACGATTAAATGTATCGCACTTGCGGCGATTTGCGGCACACGGCATCGGCGACGTCCAGCTCTTCTACCGCCGCAGCCAATCTGTCGGCGTCCTGGGCGTACCTCCTCCGCCCTTCCATGTCCAGGGTGGGCGACTCCACATACGCCTGAGGATAAACCGAATGGCAGCGTTATTTTCAACTTATACGTTTGAAAAAAAATTTGACAGCAAAATTTTTAGGTTGCGCGCGCACACCGGCCGTTATCACGCTTGGTTGCCATGGCAACATCGCGAACGGCATTACCATGGCAACCAATAACAACTTTTTGACATTTATAATTCCAAGTACTTTAATCATTTACTCTACTTTTTTTTTCATTTACTTGAGAAAGACATCAAAAAAAATTTCAAGTTATCTAGTATAATCCATACGCCTCGCAGTATGGGATATACGTCATCTATATTATTGCAAATCATTGAGTGAACAGTTATCGCAATGCATTGAATGTCTTTACGATAAAGAAGTATTCTTAACTTCTTCGTGCGTACATAAGTACACACACACTTTTTTCCTACACATTTTAACAAACGGTTACGTGCTGGCATTATATACCCTAGTGTATTCAGCAATACATTGGTGTTCAGATAATCAGCGAAGGAAGGTGGATTAAAAATTATCACCATTATGACAGTACACCAAAATCTGTCTATAGGCACATATCTTCCATAACATTTTAAAATAATTACAATAATAATTACAATCTTATTTTCTTTGTTCTAGGTAATTGCTATAATTATGTAAATTAGTTTAGATATTCTATATATAAAAATATACATATTTAACATTCATAAAATCATTCTCTTCATCATTTCATTATAAAAGTTAGGCAAAAATAAACAACCAGAAGTGTTCATTGGCGTATTCATTGAAAACCGCCAAAAAAGAAAAGAAGAAGAAGAAAACATTTTAAAATATAACACAGACATCACCTGAGTTATTACAGTTTTTGCATCTCTAAAATATCTAAAATTAGTATTTTAATATAAATTATTATATAATAGTTCACAGTGGCTTTATATGGAATGGCAGACCCTCAATTCAAAATTGATAATTTTTTTGTAGAAGAACGAAATAACACATCTGTGTTAAAAATGCGATATATGGAATCAAATAATTTTCTTCTACTTTTTTGTTTCAATGAAAGCGTCATTATATCTAAGTTTATCTCCAATGATATATAGATGACTCAAACAAATAAAAATACCTTGTAGTTGTTCAAAATTTCATTAGCCAACTGACGCATGGGTGTGTTTTCAATAGTTAAAACCTCGACGTTCTTCCTCTTCACCAGTTTTTTGTCTTTGACGTCTGCTTTAAGGTCGTTGAGCAGCTTCTCTAAGCTCTGCCCTTCGTTTTCAAGGTCATCGAGATGATTGGAGTGTTCTGGATGCGATTTCAGGGGAGTCAAAATCGACGAAAAATGTTTCACTCTTGTCGACAGCTGATCGGCGGCCGTCAGTAGTATATTTTGGCTCTCAGGGTATTGAATGGAAGGTGCCACGAGCTGTAAGCAACGATATAAGCGTAAAATTATATAAAAAGAAATATTGTCCGATTTGTTCATACCGATCTATTTAATGATCCTGTTACGCTGAATAGTTGTCCGAAATAAATTAATAAATAATAATATTAATAATATTATCCCATAGATATATCTGTTACATTTACATTTCCCCCTGTGTACAGAGAAGGCCTTTGTTTAGCAGTGGGACATAGTAAATAGGCTGTTACATTACTTTCCTAGTGAAGAAGGACAATAGATTTGATTTGATTTTATTCTATATTCAGGCTTTTTATAAAGAAATGCAATCGTCGTCAAAACACTGAGTAGGTATTCGGGACCATGCCGCGTTGTCAGTTTGTTACATTATCCGATGTTTGTCCGAACATAAATATATATTTGGTATTTTTTTTAATGTCAGAAGTTGCCGAGCGAGCAGGCGGTTCACCTGATGCCCGCCGCCCGCGGATTCTGTGCAACCCGAGGGTTTGCACATGCGTCGACAACCTTTTTGGAAATTGGGCTCCGGTCGGCGGTATTCACTTAACATCAGGTGAACCGTCTGCTCGTTTGACAACTTTTCGCATAAAAAAAAAAAAAAAATACTTTAAAAAAATTATGACCTGATGAAATAGTGCCTCCAATGACCACGCCCCACAGAACACCCACCTTGGCGACGTAGAGCAGCTTGCCGGCCGCGTCCGCGCAGCGGCTGCCCCCCGCGCACAGATCCCGTGCATCATCAGCGGCCAGGAGTTGTGCCGAAGAAGCGCCCTCGGTGGCCAGTCGCCACGCGCAGTCGCCGACCGCCTTGGCGCGGGCCAGCACCTGCAACCGGCTCATGTCCCACTGCTGGGCAAAGGCCCCCTCTGCAGAGGGTATCAGGGTACCCCACTACGGATCAGCTTAGTGACTAAAGCGTCAACGCGCGAATGCCGAAGACGTGGGTTCGGTTCCCACAGCGGCGGAAATCTTTTCGTTCCTTTTTTCTACAAATTTTATGTTTAACCTAAATGCGAAGATAAGCACTATAAAAATTTTAATTTTACCGATGATTATTTAATTTAAATATTAAAGCCAAATTATCCAAATATTATATTCATATATATATATATATATATATATATATATATATATATATATATATATATATATATATATATATATATATATATATATATATTAAAATCATCATCCCATGTTAATATTATTTTATTATAACCTTCAAATAGTACCTCTTTCTCTTGGTTCGGGTCTGCTCCAGTGCCAATAGAGTAGAGCAATTTAGCGGAACTGTTTGCGTAATCCACAGCAACCTCGTTCAGCCTCTAAAAATGAAAAAAGTTTGATATTTTTAAGACCCTTTTTTTTTTTTTTGGTATTCGAATTTATGGTTAATTTATAGTTAAAATAATTTATTTATTTTTGTATTTTAGTTGGAATCGACATCGATACAGGATACTCTCAGCTATCTTAATGCCGATTTACCGTTAAAATACGAGGAGATATATCTATCATACTGTGATAGATTAGCGAAGTGAAATTCTAATTTGATATGTAAACTTGAATTCCTAGAACTAGTTATTATAGGAATTCTGAGTTCTTTCAAATAATATTACAAATATAAATAACTTCACAGATCTTCATGAATTTACTATGGAACACCCAGATTCTTCCCAACACATTTAACGAGTCGGTAAATCCTATCATATATTATGTACTACAATCACCTCACTTCATGTATGTTGTGTTAATCTCATTGTAGTTTGTTATTTATAATTTAAATTTTTTGGTATTTACTGAAAATCGATAAATAGTACCAAGTTCATACCTATTTGGTTTCATGCCTTAGTTATATATTTTTTTAATTGTTAACACAACTGTGTTTTTTTGAAACTAAACAAATAGTCATTCATTCATTCATATACCATATACATATTATAGGTTAATTGGTTAATTGTCAGTTTCGGTACTGTTTACTCGTAATATATGACGTGATCATAAATAATTTATTTTACAATAACAAATACGCAATGAAATCGCTATCTTTATTTTTACCTCGCTGTCGTTCTTCGCTGTACTGCATAACGCTCTCGTGGCCTCGCAAAGAAGAACAGTGTTGTCTAATATTGTCTTCGATCGTTTGATATCCGAACTATTGAGCTGACGAACCTCTAGAAAACAAGCCCATGTTTTTATTAAAGAAAAAAATACTAATTTCAAGATTCAGCCGTTTAGGAGGAATTCAGTGACATACACATGTACAGAATTTATGTATATAAAGATAAACAACATACAGTGAAATAATTCATCTCACCCTTAACAACAGTCGGGAAGAGTTCGGAGAGACTCTTGGCGGATTTCGCTGCCACCTTGTAGTTCATTTTTCGTGGATCTAGAAATAACGGTAAATTTTAACCAATGACTCCACGGCGCAGTCGCCGAGGGGTTGGGGCTTGTGGGTTCGATTCCCACACGGGACAACTGTTTGTGCGACCCAAAGATAGTTGTTTCGCATCTGGGTGTTTTGTCCGCGTGAAATGTGTGTTTGTAAAACGTCCTTACAACACAGGATAATGTTATTTTAAAGGGCAATGTTTTTTAAAAAGAAAAAAAAAATAGTGAGCACGATAGTCATAGATGAGGCGCAACAGCTGTCATACCAATGGGCGGGTCTCACGGAAGACTGGCCTGAAGTGATTGTATTAAACTTTCGCGTCTCTTTCAGTCAGTTGTCAGTGAGGTAACCAGGGGCCACTTTTTTAAACGTTGCCAACGCATCTGCATCGGATTTTGTAGAGGACCATGGGCGGCGGAATTCACTTAACATCGGGTGAACCGTCTGCTCACATGACTTTTCACATAAAAAAATTAAGTTAAAGTTTAGAAGTAAACTAAAAAAAAAATTAGATAAGTTAAATTAGACAATTTTTAAATATAATGTGGTCCTAGTGTTTGCATATGAATTAATAATTACAGCATATGATGTATAATGCGAACACTAAACATTTTTAAATAAAAACTGGTTTTAATTTCATAAGCCTCCCTAAAATTTGTAAAATACATAGTCTTTGTTATCATCGCATCATATTTTTATATTACTAGCGGATCGGGCAGACGTCCCGTACACACGACTTAAATCTGACAACAACTTAAAAAAAATTATGAATCTAAACCATTCTCGAATCGACGTGAAGACACACAAAAAATTTCATTAAAATCGGTCCAGCCGTTTAGGAGTTCAGTGACATACACACGTATAGTAAAATTATGTATATAGAGATATATTTTTTATTTAATACTTTTTATTTATAACAGAGACAAAACACTGCTACCAGTGTGAGTGTACCGTGAGTACCGGTGTCCAACAGTTATAACAATGAGAGTAACTAGTAAAAATATAAATTCCGTCACCATTGCAATAGACGAGGTGCGAAACTGCAACGCTGGCTAAAGACAGTTTCCTCTCCAGCTGCTCAGACGCAACTTGGATCGCTTCCGGTGAAATTATCTCAGCACCGTCAACGGAAATCTAAAACAAGTAGAATATAATTTAAAAAAGAAACGAAAAATCTGTCGATTTTTTATTTTTTTTAAACTGACTGATAGACTGGGTTTCTGTATAATTTTTATTGTGATATACCAAGTGTCTCTCTCACAGTAAATACAAATCTAACGACACGTCTTAAGCTAAAATCCATCAAGCCGTTCAGGCTGTGGAGCGTGCCAAACAATTGTACATACATACTGTCGAAAACATACCCCTCCTTCTAGCGCAGTCGGGTAATTATAACATATGACGACTCAAATAACTGATAGCTTTATATTAATTAGTATTGAAATAATTTGCTACATATTTATAAATGTGAGATTTAAAAAAAGACAAGCGATGACTTCACATTGTGTAAATCTTAAAGACAACGATCCAAGTTGCTTTGGTTCAATTTACAATTGTGACTATTTAATACTAAATTAAATTTAATACTAAAAGTATCAAATTTCATATTCCTTGCTCATGTTTCATATCCATACAACAGTATAGAAATCTGCATATTGGCTTCTTTTAAATTTTTAAGTTCTTTTTATGTTTAAGACCATATATTTTATGTGGGCATGCAAACAGCATTTTATTTATAACACTAAAGCTCCTCATTGACTAAAGAAAAAAAAGAATAACACATGGAGGAAAAACGCTTCGGCGATATTTTGTCTATACTTAATTGTATATGGATAATACCTTTGTAATCTCATTTTCTACATTCTGGATGCTCCTGATCGCTTCGTCCACAGATTGGGCTAGATGCTGCTTCTCCGCTAAGAGTTGTCCTTGGTCGACCTCTGTAGAGGACATGCGCTTTGGTACTGGCGGCTTTACCGGTCTCAGCGTCGCATCTGCGCAGTCACAGCAGACTTAAGAAGTTTGGCCTTTTTCATTCTGTGTTTAACTAACTACATTAAAGTCCTTGATATCACTTATCTATCCTTTAACTCTTCATTAGCGAATTCGTGATAAAAAAAAACACTATGTTGTGAGATGTATTTGGTTTACACAAAATGACTCAGGTTAATTTTTTCTAAAACGTTGCTCTTACTTTAGGATTACATTATCCTGTGTTGTACGGACGTTTTTCATAACATAAATTTCACGCGGACAAACACCCAGTGTGGGAATCGAACCCACGACCCCCGCAGAAAACGATACCTCGACAACTGCGCCACGGAGTCATCAATAGGCGATAGTAACTATAAAGTATGGTGAGTATATAATTTATTGAATGTAGCATAATTGTATTCACTGTGGTAGGACTACGCTGCAGCTTCGACTGTTGCACGAATGGGCTGGTCCTTCGGGGAAGTACCTCTGCCTCACAGAAGACCGGCGTGAAGTGGAAGTGTTATTATTCCGCGTTTCGTCTGGAGAGTGAGGTAGCCAAGGCCCACTTTTTTTAATGTTGGCAACACATCTGCCCCCCGTCAGGTTTTGTACATAATCATGGGGGCGGTAATCACATGTGTCGGATGAACCGTCTGCTCAAATTAATGACTTAATATTCAATATTTTCAAAAGGTTGCAAACCCTCTGCAAACCCGCAGTGTAGCAGATGTCCATGGGCGGTGGTATTCACTTAACATCAGGTGAACCACCTGCACGCTTGGCAACTTTTCACATAAAAAATATTCAACATCAAAGCTCACCAGAAGCATCCTTACACACTGCCTTTATCTCATTAAGAGCATCCTCCAGTTTAGACCTTTCTTGGTTCATTTTCTTCTTCAAGGTATCTGGCAGAGGTGACGAAGAAGCGTTATCCAGCTGACGAGACAATGACAGCATTTCGTTCACTGATGAGAGTAGGGTTGATTGGCAGTTGGGATCCTCAATAGAGCAGGCTGTAATCTGCAGAACACATATTTATTAGTAACAATGTGATGCAATAATAAAATAACATAATTCTTATTTATGTAAGAAAACAATGTTTATGATTTATTGAAATTTTAATGTTAGTGAAACTTGAAATGTGAATTTTTATACATTTATCCACAAAAATTCACATATCAAATCACAGTATATGACTTATAAAAGAATATATGTTATGATACAACCGGTATAAAGGAAGACACTTTACCGGGTAATCTAAATGTATTATTTGAATGTTTTATGTACTATGTTTAATGAGAATAAAATGTGGATTTTGTTAATTAGCAAGACAATCACAATTAAACGTGTTATGACAGTGACAAGATTTATCGCCTAGATTTTTATTAGATAGTGGATAAGCAATAATGTATGGCCCTATCATTAAAAGGTGGTGACGCATCTAATACCCTAATGGGTGTTGCAAATGTCAATAGATGGTAGTTATCAGTTAGTTAGAAAACGGCTATCACTTAACATGAGGTAACTGCCCGCTCGCTTGCCGTTTTTTAACACAAAAAAAAGACTAACCAAAGTTGATCTACCTGCCACGGTCTGTCTACCATAGAAATTAAACTCATATTGGACCATAGAATCATTCAATTTCATTCAATTTCATGGTATTTATCGACAATTGTTAAAATGTGATATGTCAAAGCCATATGCTAAAGGGAAGGCATACTTGAGCGACGGTGAGCAATCCTTGAGCAGCATCCACGAGCGCCGGCGATTTGAGGGAGGAAGCTCTGTTATTAATCTCCTTGCACAACTCCATAACCTAAAATAAATTGTAAATATACTAGCTTACCCAACAGACTTGTCCTGTACACGCATACAAAAAACCAAAACAAATTGTGAATCTAAACCATTTTCGAATCGACCTGAAGACACAAAAAATTTCATTAAAATCGGTCCAGCCGTTTAGGAGTTCAGTGACTTACACACGTACAGAAATCTTACATAAAGCTAAGTATATGATCAATATTTTACACAGCAATTCATTTAATTTTTAATACGTTGTAG